TACGTATAGAAGAATTGACTTGACGTTTGTATTGAAAATCCGAATCATTTTGTTGTTTATGTTGAGTGACGAAGATTTCCAGATTGGTTTCAGGTTGATGAATGTGTTTCTCGCCTTCCCGATTCTCGATTTGACATCCTCGTCCGTCCGTTCCTCCTATAGTTGAGACAACCCTCCCTAGATAAGTGAATGAAGTGACCTCTTTCAAATCCCCTCCCGTTGATGGTGATTGGCACTGGATGTTGCTGCTGTTGTTGTTGTTGGTTGGTTGGTTATTTTCATAACCTCCGTCTTGTCTATAATCACCTGGAGTCCTGTTTTCTTTGGCTGCTTCTTCGACCAGTTTGTCGGTTTTCGTTTGTAAGTCTTCGATTTTGTGTGACATCAAACATAAATCATCCACGCGCGAAATCCAGGTCTTCTAGGTTGTTCACGTTGGTCCAGGATATCCCTGTCTTCTCGTTTCCCACTGTCTGACGCATTATCCAGTCCACCACAGTTAGGAATATCGTTGGTGATAATAAGCACCCTTGTCTGACTCCCATGTTTACTCCAAACGCCTAGCTCAGTTTTCGTTTGTGGACCACTTGACATGTGCCGTGGTCGTACAGCTGTTGAATAGTCGGTGATAATAGGCACCTATTAACTATCCCACCGCCCACAAGGGGTCGAAATCTAATTCTCCTAATTAATTCAGATCCCTGTAAGTCAACACATGAAAAGTGTGTAAGCGTTTGTTAGAAAGAAGGCAAAGTTATTTCCGCCTTACTCAGCGAATATTGTCGGCTAATATACGATTACGTCGAAAAAAGGAGTTACACAGTGATTAGATCAAATCTTGACAGAAGTCTATGGTATGTTCAAGAGTTGGTTTCAGCCACATACTGAGGTATAGACTGCCTGGTTAGGGTTCTCGAAAGAGCAAATACCAAATGTTGGTGATTTAGCGCAAAATTGTTCTCAAAAGCACAGATGTATTCACCTTTTGTGATCTCCAAGTTTTATTACAGCTTTATTTATTACTCTGCTTCGCGTAATCATTTCAGCCTGCCTCATTGGTACGTAGACAGATATGTTTTGTGGGTGGTATGGTGACCAAGGTGATTATGGAAATAAGCCAATCAGGATTGACCTATGTAAGTAATTGATAGCTGGTCTGGAAATAAACCAATCGGAGGAAGTTTAGCCTGCGTAAAATAACGCCCACTATTTTTATTGGTCATTATCATAGACTAATTGACAATATGCTACTTTGGTGATTGTTGAATCATGCATTATTATGTAAAATAAACTGCTGTGGCTGATACTGAAATAAACTCTACTGTTCACGTAGTTCTGTATTCTCGGTAAGGTATACAAGGCTTGGGGTGTGTGTGGTTAAGAACAAGTAGCTGTCGTATCATGTTGTTAGCGTGATCAACGCGTCTGTGTCCAACTCGGTGTCCCAATGTCAATCTCAGCGTTATATTATGAAGTAAAATATTGGCCACACAATAACAGGATAGTTGAAAACAATTGACACTTATCACTTGATTAGTACTTTCTATAACCAGATCAACGGGATCTAAACACAGGATAACCATTTCTCTGATTCATTTATCCGATAACATGAGCATTGTAGCTGGTCAGTTTTGCTGTCTTAGCCCAGAGAGTTGAAACACATCCACCTACCCGAATTCCAGTTCACCTCGTTTTATTTCTCTAAAATTAAAGATATATGTGTAATGTAATGTGTATCTGCGCAACACATTTCGGACGTTCTGATCACACACACGCGTGCTTGTCATACACATTCACAGAGATGGTAAGACAGCATGAATTATTGTTACAATACAGGTCAAATCATGTACAGGTCAAGGTCGGATTAAAAAGATGACTTAGGGATGTAGGATAAGGAAAACAGGAAGAGGACGAAAATATTACTGAGTGAATTGAACCTTGGTTCAAAAATATTGGCTTACCGAGGCAGGTTGAGAGTAATCACAAATAAATTTCGGATACATAAGACAGACTTAAGCCTTCTAATGACCAAGGCTTCAACGAATTTAAGTATGTAGTCCAAACTTGTTTTATTTTTGATGTGGTTGTGTTCTCTGAGCTGGATAGTTAATTTGCGAAGCTTTCATCACCCTACTAGGTGACATCTTCAGCACATACTTCAATTTGAAGTGAGCTTTTAGGTTTCTCCACGAGTTTATTAATCATCTCTCCCGGTGACCTTGGGCGTGATTGATTGTTTTCATACCCTCTAGGCTACTTGTATTGGAATTGATTGTTTCTTTGACTTGAACTTTGATCCACTCCCTCATATCACTACATACAGACAACCACGGACACCAATTCGATTGGGACAATGTTTAAATATTAGACAGAGGGAACAACAAGAATGCTACAGAATTTTTAGAAGCCTGCCAGTGAATTGTCAATCAATAGACACATCGAGATAGACAAAATTCACCAATCGATTATAAGGAAATCTCACACACAAAGGGTCAAAGTTCAAGTCAAAGAAACAATGAATTACAATACAAATAACCTAGGTGTGAAAACACACAAAAACAACCAATCACGTCCAAGGTCACCAGGAGAGATGACTAATAAACTCGTGGAGAAATCGGAAAGCTCACTTCAATTCAAATTGAAGTATGCGCTGAAGATGTCACCTAGTAGGGTGATGAAAGCTTCGCAGATTAACTATCCAGCTCAGAGACACACAACCACGTCAAAATCATCCACCTGAGCTACAAATCTTCTCCATAATATCTAAACTTGTTTTATATATGCGTTTAAGGGCACTAATGAAATCAACCTTGTGACCTATCTCTATAATGTGCTTTGCAATAGATAATGTTGGACATCTATTTCCGGGGTCAGTTTTATCTAGTGATTTTATTTATTGTTGTAGCCACTTTGAAATTTGTTCTGTAGCCGTGACCTGCAGAGACTAATGGGTCCCTCCCTGTGTGCGTGTAACGACACAAACATGTAAATTGGTAAAAACAACGGGGTGTGACAGTATCCTTTGGATGTTGTGAGGGTGTACAGGATAGCATAGATCTCGTTTTCTCTATGAAGATAAGTTTAGCTGCATAGTAAGTCCAAATTAATTCTCACACTGAGTCTACGTTTAGTGATAAGACTTTGTTGATCACTCTTGGACGCCAAGGATAAATAAATATCGTTTCTGAGAGCTGATTGAACGTTTGAAATCGCTTAAACTTGTCACATTTGTCCGAAAATTATTTGTTGTAACTCTTAACTTACCTTGGTAAATCAATTGATTTGAACCAAGGGCCACTTCACCCTCTTTTTTCCTTGCGTCATCTTCCAACCTCCTTTACCTCACTAAGGCAGTAATAAGACTGGTAAAAAGGGAGGGTTGGGCATGAGGCTGACAAACCCATGCTGTAAAATTAGACACCGCTGTTTCTGAAACTTCAAGCCTTCTGGCTTGAAACCCTATGTTCCATTGGGAACGTAGAGGAATTTAAGAAAATCTTCTAGCCTCATATCTGTGACCATGACCTATAAATAATATGCCCTTTTGCCTTCTACATAAGCGTGAATGAGGAATACGTCTGTGATGGGATTGTGTTCCTCAAATACACATTACATCTTACACGTTTCAGATAAACTACGTCTTTTTATTGTTTTGTCAAAATTCATAAAAGAGAACTAACTACTTTCAATACGAAGGTGATGAGGAAGAAAGAATAAGGATAGAAGAAATATTTTTTTGAAATATCATTTATTTTTTCTTTTATTTTCTGTTATTTTTCCTTCATGGGGTTTACTCAACGCGAACAATCAGAACTAACAGATAGAAAAAGTTGTTGAAATGTGACGAAGTGGAACAAGGGGGAGAAAAAGTGTCTTCCATTTCTGTTTTTATCCCTAAAGAAAAAACTAACAAAAGACGACATCAACAATAGTAGTTGTTGTTATTGTAGAATTGAAATCTGCTTTGCTTTCTCATTTCCCGCCTTTTTTCATCTCTGTCTAAGAACCATAATTCTTCCTCGCCTCTTCCATATTTTCGTGTCAATATAAATGCCAAAAAAACAGGGAATAGGGTCACAATACACGCAAGTTAACAAACACAAATAAATGCACAAAGAAAAAAAACATAGTGAAGAGAGAAGAAAAAAGAAAGAGGTCACATTAACGAATATTACAAAAAAGAAACAAATATGGCGCTCCGTGAGTTTTTAAATTTCGCGCCCTTGTTTTCGTCCTTGTTCAATGTTCAATGGATCAATGATTCAATAGATTTTGGTCTTTACAGTCATAGACGAAGAATAAGAAGGAGAATGATGTCATATGTGATCAACAAATATTACATAATGAACAATCTGTTAATGAAGACAAATAGGAAAGAAATCCAGTAATTTTGGAGATTTGAAACACTTTGAAATATACTCAAACGCACACACACACACACATACAATAGACTAACAGTGTACATAAAAACAGGTTAAAAAATAATCTGTCCTATATATATTATCTAAGCATAAATATTATTCTAGTTAAACACAAAAATAATAAAAATAACCACCACCAACGACAATTACAACAACAACAGTGACGAAAAGAGAACAAACAATACAGGAATGTATAAGAAGAATGGATCAGAAGAAGATTAAGTAGTATCCACAATAGCTGTGTTAGTAGTATGTGTTGTAATGTGAAAAAAATATAACTTATTCTTTTGGTTGTATCTATCTACTCTATCACAAATGGCTTAAAACAAAAGGTGTATATATAGGAGGGTTTGGTTATAGTATCAATTACATGAAAGCTATTCAATACACATACAAACATGTATAATGTGATGTGATCGATAGTTCAATGAACGATTAGCTGTTAATGGTATCTCATTCTCTTCTATTCAGCCCTCCACCCTCCCCCAATAAACTGATGGCAGGGGGAACAAACAGGAATGCTTTTAACAATACAAAAATACATAAATCAAGAAAGCACAATGAGGGACGCCATATTTCGAAAGAAAGACTAAGAAAGAACATGAGTAAAGATGACTCCAACTCTAAGACACACACACTTACACACGAGACAGTAATGATTAATTTTTAATTCAGTAAGTAGGTGAATAAGTGAGTAATTGAGACACTAACATTATTTTTATCATCCAATCGCAAATAGACAGAGGAAACCATAGCAACATCGACGACAACAAATAATAATTGGAATGAAATGAGAATTCAAAAATGGCGCTCAAAAATAAATGATCGATAATTCTACTCTTTGATGCAGTAAAACAAAATCAGCGGAAATAAAGTAGAATACAAAAAAGAGGGAGACAGATAAAAATAAGAGCGACAACAACACCTAAATACGAATATGTATATATGTATTTAATTTTTTACAATAATATTGATGATAAGAGTGCTCAAAGGGTAGCTTGGTTTTTATGTTTTAATTTCTCATCTTTCATCTCAATAAATTTATTATGTATGCACAGCTGGTGAGGAGGGGTAAGGGGCAATACACAAAAAGAATAAAGACATTGAAAAGAAGGGGATTACAAAGTTTGCTGGAATCTCAAATGGCGCAAACATATCAGCGTGTGTGTGTGTTTGTGTTTGATAGACATCAGAAAATAAGAAACAAAATAACGAAAAAACAGTTCATCTTTAAGATCATACATGCTATTTTATAAATTAAATTTTTACATAAATGTATACAGAAAATCAATCTTTGATGAGAACTGTTCATATAGCTAGTTGGATGGAGAGTTTTGTTAATGAAATTGACTATGACAGGCTAGTTGGAGGTTGTCGATTAATTGATTGTCTTGGTTCTATAATCAATGATGCTTGATAGGTTTGTTCTTCATCTAGCAACCGTGTTGGATCAAGTAAATAATCCGTTACCTAATTAATAACAATAAATCAATAAACACATAATTGGGTTATTTTTGTTTAATAGTGTATAGAGAGGGGAAATGAATCCAGTAAGTGCGTTTCGTCCAACTAGTGACTCATCAACTGGATGTAACTTAATCTACTTCCCTGTGAGTTGGCCTGGGGTGGGGGGGGGGGAATAAGTAATTTGAAAATCGCTCCTGTAAACGATCTAATGACAATATTTATCCTTATAAGTATGAAATTTGGTCACTGTGGTAGAGTATAAATCGATTATAGATAAAATTTTATTTTGATAAAATCACACAGTGGTGTTATACAGTAATATTTACTGTACTGGAAACGTCATAGGTAAATATTAGTTAGAGAAGCGTAGGAAACCAGTGTGCGACAGACTGTGTAGTGGGAGTGAGAAGACAGGAATACGTTGGAGTGACTGATGAGAATATTCGAAAAGATCTAGATTTCAAGCGTGGATGATTTATGTTTAATATCACACAACCTCGAAGACTTGCAGATGAAAACCAAAAAACTGGCTGAAGAAGCAGGTAGCGAAGACAGGACTCCAGATGAACTTACGGAAAATGGAGGTGATGAAGATAACCAACTAACCAAATAACAGCAGCAACAACAACCAGCACTAATCACCATCAATGGGAGAGATTTGACAGAGGTTACCTCCTTCACTTATCTCACCAAGAAGCATGGTTTCAACCAGAGACAGGCAGTTGGACAGCACAAATGAAGAAGTCGAAGTCAGCCAACCAGAATCGGAAAGACGTGACATGCCTTCATCAACCTTAAACCAGTTCGGAAATCTTCTGCTTTACTCACTCAACATGTAAAACAAGATTCGGATATTCAACACGATCCAAAGTTAGTTATTTCTTTTATCCGGGTCAGAAACTTGCACTGCGCACCTGTCAAGAAAATGATTTCCAAGAGGCTACAACAGAATTTTATCAACAGCTGCCCCCTTAGTTGGCTGGCTGGTTCCATACTGAAGATCGAATGGCCAGCCAGAAAGAAAGAATTAACCACAAGAAACTCTGACAATAAACCAAGCAAGGGCCGATTGCTCAACAAATGTGTAGGAGAAAATGGAGATGGATGGATCGATCGATCACACGTCGAGGGGGCCGTCAAATGACATCGCGCTCCGGGCCCTCGAGTTGAATCCAAGTAGGAAGTGATGAATGGGTCGTCCAAGGGTAACATGAAGGCGATCGTGTGAGTTGGAGGAGATGATAAATTATGGTCACTCGTGGAGCTAGTCAGCTGAAGACTACATCAGAAAATAGAAGAAAGTGGAGGTGTGTTGGTGAAGCCCTATGTTCCACTTGGAACCCAAAGGAATAGTATATATATATATATATACATATAATAGACTTGTAAACTTACCTCTCGTCTATGAGTTATAAGATATGGAGTCTGATGATATTGTTGAACTTCACGTATCACATGGGCAATCTAGAAGGAGAATAACAAAAAAGGAGCATTGAAACTAGTGATAAATACCTTATGCATCTACAAGTTTCACTAGAAGGAAGGAGGGCTTATGAAGCCTGAAATTTCTAACATCCAGGGTTAACCGGTGTACCATACTTGGAATTGGTTAGTCATAGAACCTATATGTAGTTAGAACGTTTCATTCTGTATTCAAAGTTCAATAGATGTTAGTCATCTGCAGCATCTCACTGTGGACATGATCTTTCATTGAGATTTCATTGTATCCGGGTGAGAATTCTCCAACAGGACAACGCATATCTTCTGGATATATTTTATTTTGCAAAACGTTGTGTTGAAATACGGACACCAAGTTGGTGACAGACGTGGTAATCACGAATATCGCTTGTCTATGCCAACAACAATATATGCAACAGCTAACCGATCTCTCAGTCCGCAACTTAAGCGACAACAAACCAAAAATTAGACAGATTGTAATGGTGTATTTACACGATAACGTATAACTCAAAAAGTCACCAAGGTCATGTCAATTAGTCTATGACCATGACCAATAAAAATAGTGGGCGTTATTTTACACAGGCTTCTTTCTGATTGGTTTATTTCCCGACCAGATATCGACCGTTTACGTAGGTCAATTCTGATTGGTTTATCTCCAGTCGAGTGGAACATAAATAGAAAGCCGCAAGTTGGGCGTCAGTTCAAGCATGACATGGAGGAGATCATATGATGAGGAAACAAAAGCTAAAGATATACAGATGTGCAGCTGAAGCTCTATGTTCCACAAGGAACTCGAAGGAATATTAACAGATAATGAAGGCTTAAATGAACTATCATGGATTTAATTGACTAGTGCCGTATTTTGGTTTGACCGTCACTAAGCATGCGTAACACTTGTCCTAACCACCTCAATCGATGTAACTTCACAACTTCATCGATCGATCGAAACCTAACCTCAATATTACTCACCCTTAAGACTGATAACACTGATAAGAGCTGAAAAGTAAAAACGACCTAAGCTCATGGCTTCTCTTTATTCGCTTGCAGTAACACACCAAGCAGTAATTGGATATTGTGAACAATTTGTAGAGTCGGGTGATGATGCAGACTTCCTCCTATCAAGTTAAGGCGCCTGCTTTGTGCAAGAATTGATTGTTGTTAATCAATAGCTTACTTGATAAATCTCTCAGTGACTCAGGATGCAGGCACATCCAGATGATGAGTGCGTCAGACAGGATGAGACGCGCCATTTTAATTCCGCTAACAGACAACACCGACCAAAGAACAGTAATAATAATAATATCAGTTAGAGAACCATTGAAAACCAGCCACGGAGTACTGGACAGCTGTTTCATCAGCCTAGTTGGGGAATCATCGGCAGTACTCACTCACCCACTGGGTTTCGAACCCAGGACCTTCTCGTTATAAGGCAAGCTCGTATTGGTAGAAGTTAGAATTCATGCACTGGCCATTGAATCGGGTCAGTCCCAGTGGCTGAATGTTCTACGAGCTTGCCGTGTAACCGGAGGGTCCTGGGTTCGAACCCTGATAGGTGGGAGCGTACTGCCGATGATTCCCAAACTAGGCTGATGAAACAGTAGCTGTCCAGTACTCCCTGTGGCTGGTTTTCAATGGTTGTTCTCTAACTGATATCAATCAGTGATCAACTCGTAAAAACAAAAGTAACCCTTACAAACCAATAAATAAAAAAACCAAATCAAATTCTCAATTACACTTACCATACGCATTTTACAAAAATTGACCAAATTGTTTTCAGTTATATTTAAAGCACCCTCTTCAATAAACGACAAATCTGTTAAATACATTCCCAAATATGGGATACACGGAGGATCACATCTAGTGAGAAAAGAGAAGAGAAAGGAGAGAAAACGCGTTGTGGACGTTGACGATTCAGCTAAGACGCAATAATAACTGAATCCAATAAAGTACATTCAGGTAGCAATTTCACGTGTGGAGAAGTAGAATCCCAAATTAAAATTGCCCTTTTAGATAGCTTACTGACAAGAAGACCAAACATTAGTATAGAAAGGAAATTGCATAATAAAAGTACCTGGTCCGGTCAATATACACACTTTTTCACAGTTTCCTTCCTCTCCGGTAAAACCCTTAGCTACAGGGTCAGAGTCATTTGTTTAGAAGAGTTAATTTAAGGTGAACTTGTAACAACAGAAGACAAGGGCCAGGCAATAGAACGTTTATTACGGAAAATCAACACATATTTATAGATTTTGATGTACATTATTGTAGGTTAATGTTAGTAGAAAATACAGTCTGTTGATTGGTTGTTTCTCACACAAAGTTAACCTTGCATCTCTTGTGGCTGTGTCAGTTCTGTATCCACCTGTCCATCTTGACCTTGACCTCAATTACTGTCAACCAATTTGTCTAGCAACCATCTCTCACCACAACATGACTAATATTTGATACATAAACATTGACCTCAATTACTGTCAACCAGTTAGCTAGTAGACAGCTCTCACCACAAACTTAAGGTTGTATACAAGACATGTAAATTGAAAACAGTTACCCTGAAAAGTTCATCTTTATACACATAACCAAGAGTGTAGAAAAGGATTCTTCTGTATCTGTTGAAGAGAAGCCTCTGCATAGACGACTACAGTTCAAACAGTGTTGCACTTAGTGAAATAATAACCAAGAAGCTGGGAAAATCAATTCAAAGAACGTTTAGTGTCAAAAAGCTGTCTGTAGTTTATAATTTCCAGACAATCAGTAATGATGCCGAAACTGAAAGATGAAGTAACTAGGCCAACTAGCCACCCCTGGTTGTATCTATCGATTCAACTGCTTCTCATGTGGAACCAGTTTTACATTGGCCATTGCTGTAGAAACCTAAGATTGTGGTTAAATAATTGTGTTGTTAAAGCCATCAATAGTATACTATATTGGATCACCTCATTCAAACATGCCACAGAGCTATCATTGAAGTCTTTCTCTCTCTCTCACTTGCCTGGTACCTATTAAACTGCCAGAAGCCCGTAGGTTCAGAATACTCTCTAAACAGCAGAGATCACTGCAATTTACTTAAGTTAACTGTAGCTCTGTGTAAAAAAGCAACAGGTCCAGTCACTATTGTTACCTTGGCCTGTTGTTGATTATTATACGCTCATGAATTCTGTGTATTACTTCCCTTAATTTCTGATTCTCGAAAAGATATTGAAAAACAATCGCCACCCTCAGAAACACATTTAGAAGTGAAGGCTAGAATGCCAAACAAATCACATTGGGGAGAAATGCCTATCTTCATTCATTTTGATTCTAAGGATGATAAAACTAGAGGAAGAGTTAAGAGAAGACTGCATACCTCACTAGCCACAATCTATCCTGCAGCTAAATTGGTTTCCGTTTATTGGACAACACGCTCTTGATGATGCAATCAAAAGTCGAAAGGTACCCTTCTCATGTTAACTCATACAAATTTACATGTATCTGCGGTAGCAGTTACATCGGGAGGACAGAAGAAAGCAGGAGACACCTCTGACTTTCTAAACATGCGAAAAACAGCCCACATTTCAAAGGAATAAACCTTAACAATAGCGGCATTGCCGGATATCTCATCAGTTAGGTGGACATCATAAAATCCCTTTAAATTATCAAGAGACAAAAGAGCTCATTTCTTCTCAAGTTTGACGAATCATTTGCCACCAAACGTCTGGAACGTGATTTACCTGTTCAGAAAGAAGCCGTTATCAGTCTTTCCATGTCCTAGTAACAAGATGTCTTAACTTACCCTCTCTCTTTCATTTGAGTACGCACAATCTTTGGCTTTAACCTCTCCCTCTCTTTTGATATAGTGTAACTTTGCTTGTCTTTTGTTTCTATGATTTGAGTTGTACTCACTACACTGTTACTCATCATCTTAGTCCTCTTTTGTCTCTATTACATAACTCTTTTACCATTGTGTGCAAACATTTATTTTTATTTAAACTTGAACTCTGTGGGTATAAACCATATAATTGTGATTGCTGAGCACTGTTCATTGAGTTAGGAGTTTTCTCTCATTAACTGACATTATGGGACATTTGCAAGTATGTTACAAAGTTGCTGTGTTTTTTAAATATTTTATTCATTTACGCTCCCAGTAGGGAAGAAAGGGCTTCAAACTAGAGGCTTCAAGTTTCTTCTTTACTGAGGTAAAGGAGTGCGTTGGCTGAGTATCGAACGCTGAACCAAATACCTGGTTGGTGGGTATTCTAATGCTAAGCCACTGACACAAACTTGCTCTGTGCATAAATTTAATAATGTCTTCTTTAGGCTGTACATGCAGCTAATGAGAAGCCAACGAAATAAATAATGATGCTGTCATCTTATTCTATACAAATCAGTATACTTCTTGGTTTATTCAAAGATAATGAAGGTTTCACAAATGGACCATCCAGCTCACAGAACACAAGTACATGGATGTAAACAAAACTTTACAATTCATCATATAACAGTATTAATAAAGCCAGATGACGTAAAATAAGTATCAAGTAGTGTTGGTTTCCAGGGTCTTGGTTGGTTACAGAATGGATCATGATCTTAGATCAGTTGGAGAACTACTGGAAAATCTAGGAATACTGGAGAGTTGTTTCGTTCTTCTTCGGGACTCTTCGGTAGTACGTACCCACCACAAGGGTTCGAATTCAGAAACCGGTAGAAGAGTACTGTCGAAGAGTCCCAAATCGGGACGGAACAGCCACCAATCCAGTACTCCGTGTTTTGATTTTCCAGTGGTTCTCTAACTGACGTCAGCTAGTGAACAATCCTACCGGAAAATAAATTAGTTAAAACATACCTGTGCAATGCTTCACGCATTGACTTGAATCGTCCATCTGAGGCTACAAGCATTTGCAGTCGATCAATTGACTGTTTCGTCTGCTTGCTTACTCTTTCCCATGTTCTTTTCAACCGGTAGACAGAACTATTTACCAGTGCAGCACAGATTTGCAGGACACCATTGTAATTTTGCATACATCGACAGATATCAGCTATAGCTACCCATTTATCAATACACATAACTCTGTCGTTCAGATCTGTACGGGATATAATTTCGGAGACGACTAGACGACTGACCTAAAGGTTATAGAAGGGGATGAAAAGAATTACATGAGAGGGACTTCAGTAATTAGAAGTGGAAAATTTCATAAATGATGTGAAGCTACTGATAAAATCATTAAGTAGTATACTTATTATCAGTGAAATACTGTTGGTTTGAAGATGGATTTGGAAGTTTTCCTTGGTTGTTTCAATTAACCTTCTTGGTACTATTCACTTTTCTCCTAGACTGTATATCATTGTTCTGATATTTGCATATCATATGTTGATTTGTTCCTCATTACTTGTCTTTGTTCCTGTTTAATCTCTTTAGCAGCATGCACCCAGAATCTTGAGGTCACAAGGCTGGCTCGTGGATCCTCTAGCGCTGTATGTGGCAGAAGTCAGAATTCCTAAAAGGGGTATTCCATCTCATTCCCTAAATGGTCTAGGAGCTCGCATTGTAACCTGAAGGTCGTGGGTTTGATCCCCGATGTGAGTAACTAACTGACCAACTGGTTTCAACGCAGAACTTTGCACCGATGTGCAGCAGTTCGAGACGCCACGCTCACTCCATGTAGCACATAAAGCAAGAGAAGAAAGTAAAAAGAAATGCAGAACAGAGACAGTAAACAGAAATATGAGGCAAAAAGAATAGTAATACCTAAGAACCATATAGTTTTATTGGATATTATAAGTCACAAGGAGTGGATCCATCTGCGCCGGCCATTGCGAACGATTTCGAGCCATATCACCAATTGTCTCCAGTCATTGGTGTTTACCCTCCCGATGACCCCAAACAGAAAGTCTACACCTCATGACGTGGCTGGCTGGCTGGCTTAAACTAACTGTTTTGAATCTATTTAATTGACTGATGAAGCCATGTTTTGGTTTGACCACCACCACTAGCCCTTTTCCAACCTGATCCATCTTATGTCAGCTAACATCGTCCATCTTCGAGGAAGGCAATGGCTAGGCATACGTAACCCATGTCCTAACCATCTCAATCAGTGTAACCTCACAACCTCGTCGATTCATTTTCCCTCCCACCTACTTAGCACTCGACTGAAGCCTAACCTCAATATTGCTCACCTTATTATACCACTTCACGCGGGAGATAGAACCCAGATACCTATGATCAAAGACAGCTAGCTAGCCTTTTCATGTCCTCCACTCTCAATGGCCAGGTTTCACAGCCATAAAGGAGGACGGAGTGGACTACTGAGCAGTACACACGCCCTTTGGTCGACAGCCAGCCGTATATCACATCCACACCAGAGACGGAGTAAACTGGCATATGCGAAACGAACCTTCTGCATGCATGCTGAGATTTCATCAGTGATCAACCTGCTGCTTTTGGCTGATCCAACTTCCCAAACAAGCGAAGTGGTCAACACGCTTCATCAATCACTTCACTCTGTATCTCTAACCTAGGAATCAACGTAGTCCAGTCCTGTAACATCATCTTACATTTGACATCAGGAGCGAATTGCATGCCAAACATTCTCAGATAGCAGCTCAAGGTGTTCAGAAGACTCTGCATTTTAGTAGCATCTTTACGTAGTAGGACTATATCATCTGCATATTCTAAGTCAACGAGATTATCCCCTGGTAACATGTCAATCTCTGAGTCGTTGAGGTCAGTTAGGATTAAATCCATTAGTATATCTATGTTGAGATTAAATAGAAATGGGGATAGTGGGCGTTCCTGACGGACACGGCTGGTTGTCACCACTTCAGATGACAACTCGCCGTAAGCGAGGAGGGCAAGGTGATGGATGAATACTGTTTGAGAGTCTTGCACCTGGTTGGAACACCTGTCCAGCATCTCATGTTGGTTTCCAGTGGTTCTGTAACTCATATCACTCTGTGATCACACTTCCGAATACCAAATAACGAACATAAACGTACAAACACGCACATACGCCCACTCATATTAAAACTGGCAGAACCAGACAAGCTCAGAGGTGTAAAGCGTACAAAAACATACTGAGAACAGAATAGAAAAACAGACAAAAATACAAGGACAATAAAAGATGGTATAGCTTCATACGGATAGGGTTACTTACCTCATTAAAACGTTTACAAACCAACAGGACATGCTTGGCCTTCTCCTCTTTGTCCAATTTCATCCAAGACTGATTGAGTAATTCTCTTCAAAGTAGCAAGACAAAGAGGAAAAAGACGAGAGGATGCAATTTTTTAATGAAATCATGGAAAATATCTGGACTTTGGGGCCAGAAATTGGATGGTTCGGAGGGATTTATCTCTCTGAGCTGAGTTATCAAACTCGGAACACGACTGATGAGGACCTTGGCTCCAGACGAGTGAAACAGCAGTCACGTGGTGTTTAGATAACCCCCATCTGGCTATCTGTCAAGTACTTCTGGTTGATATGTGGGGTATACATCTACTACTTACCTCAATAAGTCAGTAGTATATAGATAGTTTTGTGCAAATTTGCTTGTTTTCTTGATTAGCATTTATAGTATGGGAAATCTCGCCACTCGAACTGTGTAAATTGCAAATTACAAACGGATTTGCAAACTTTGAATTTGATTTATTGGTCGACACAGTCGTCTCAGTGAGTCAATCAGTTTCATTGCTAGATATAAGTAATGGGGATCATATAACTGGTGTTATCTAAAGTCCACTTATGTAATTTGATCAACATTAGTGAAATGATGGGAACACCATTAGAGATAAGAACATCTCAGTTAGTTGGTAAAGGTTTTGAGTCATGTAAAGGGGGGAGCTGCAGACGGCCAACGTGTGTGTATGTGCGCGTGTGATATAAGCTAGTTGTCCTACGATAAATTGTGAGAAACATAGTTCGAATTTGAGACCTATTACTTGACAGACAACTTGACTACTCCATCCGCAAACAGATGAAAAAAGATTGTCTCCCTAAATGTCGTCTCCCCCTTTCTTTCTTCACCAATGTTCCACTGACGGAAACTATATGTTTTCGCTGTGGCCTCATTCAGTCCAGTAGGATAGACGTCAGTATACCAATCCATTAGCTAAATGAGTTGTTACTACGATGCACTTTCAACGCCTACTTCAGATTCAACAACGAAATCTAAACGCAAATACATGGCATGGCAGTGGAATCTGCTACAGGACCCCTCTTGGACGATTATCTTATGGCTAACCTAGAAAACATTACCTTATCATCAACTATCAATAGGACTCTATCTCTACAAGGGATACATATTAATGATACTTCCATTATTAATGGTGAGAATTTGGATCCTGGAAACCTACTCCAAACCTTCAATAATGCCCTTCCGAACATCAACTACACTGTCGGATGTGAATCAATCTTCCGTTTCCTCGATGTTTAATTGTGAAGAAATGCTGCTAACGCACTGAGAAGATCCATTTATAAAAGGCAAACATTTAATGGGCAGTTTATCAGTTTTCAAAATTGTATTCCTCTTAGAGGAAAAACAAACCTCACTCTCCTAGAAGATCCAGAAAATATGTGCTGAAGAATCTATTCGTGGAAAATTCCCATTTGGATATATGGAAAATCAAAGCAAGTGATTCAGCGAGGAGACTCTTTTCAACGAACTTATTATCAATCTGTACAATCCTATGCATATATATATGCATATATATATACAATTTTGAAAACTGATAAACTGCCCATTAAATGTTTGCCTTTTATAAATGGATCTCCTCAGTGCGTTAGCAGCATTTCTTCACAACTAAACATCGAGGAAACGGAAGATTGATTCAGATCCAACTTCTGTAGTTTAGTCGATGTTTGGATGGGCATTACTGAAAGTTTGGAGTAGGTTTCCGGGATCCAAATTCCCACCACAAATGATGAAAGTATCATTAATGTGTATCTCGTGTAGAGATGGAGCCCTATTGATATCTGATTATAAGGTAATGTTTTCCAGATTAGCCATAAGACAATCGTCCAAGAGGGGTCCTATAGGAGATTCCATTGCCACGCCATGTATTTGCGTTTAGATTTCATTGTTGAATATGAAGTATATATATTCTTATGTATATATATATATACATAAGAATTTAGCTAAGGTAAGAATGGTTGGCCCAGAGAAGATAAGTAATTTAGAAAAAAGCTCGGCAATTGCAATGCATGCATTAACACACAACCACACAATAGGGTGGAGGGAGAGGGTTAAAATTCTAAAAAGTAATCTAGGTAGGTGGAGAGAGAGGTTGATTACTGAATCCTTGTTCATCGAATCTACACCCAACACATGCAATAGGAATGAATCATCACTCATACCTGAAATATGGAAAATAATACTACCAATCAAATCAAGTGAAAATCAAGTGAAAAACAATGGAACTATATAAATGAATTTGGGAAGTCGTGTGATTACCTTGATATGATTATGAGCAGTAATAAATTGTGCTCGAAACATCATCAGTAAATATTACTGTATAACACTGTGAGACTCTATCAAAATAAAAATTTACCCATAATGGAATTACATTCTACCACAGTGCCCAAGTTTTATTCTTATATCAATGATATATATAGATGGTACTTAAGACATATCCTTTTGTTCAACTCAGGTTTTTTCCAAGAAGGTGCAAGTACACTGTCATCAGTGGTTACGAAGAGGTGGCAGTGGAGCAGTCAGAAGCGGGATCATTGAATATCTGGTCGATAATGATCACCATATCTCCCGAACCTCTGCCTTTAATGTCATCTAAAAAGGCGAAAAGTAATTTGCCCGAAACACTACGTATCCGACTCATCTGTATTGCTGAAGCCATCTTTGGCCATCGAAATAGAGCAGTCAGATCTGTGTTTGCAGAAAACGTTTGTTCAATCCTTTCAGCTTTCATAGTCTTAATGTTTCTGTGCTAAAGTGTGGTAATCCCTAATCATATTTTGGCTCTACCAAGTTTTTTTCATTCTGTCTATTCACTTTGTATACCCTCCCTTTAATACGTCAATTGTTACTACTATTACTATTCTCACTTTGAAATGTCCCCGGTATTATTGCACTTGTTCCACTTGCCATTCTAAATCAATTTTGTTTTGCAACGTTAAATTCTGTGTTATCAATATTACGTAACGCTTTTTTGTTATTGGACTACTAATGTTATAATTGCACACACCTTTCAAGTTCTACACATCCTATGAATTGTTGTATATATAACGTTAAATGTTTTGTCACTTGACATTTAACTATGACTGCTATTATTGTTTCCTTTAGTTTCTAGAGGAACATAGGGCTTCAGCCACACGTCTCCATTGCGTTCGGTTCTCCGCAAACGTTTTCGTCTGGCTCCACACGTCTGTCCACATGCCTTCATCTCCCCTTCACATAATCTCCTCTTCCATGTCACCCTCGCATTGACGACCACCTGATTCGCCGCTTCCCGTTCGGGTTGCACTTGAGCGATGGCCTGGTGTGTGATGTCACTCACTTGATAGTTTGTTTTCTCAGAGTATGGCCAATCCACCTCCATTTCTTCCTGCATATTTGCCGTACAATTGGTTCCTGCTGAGTTGGTTCGCTCCCAGAGGTCCCCTTCGCTGATGTTTTCTGGCCGGCCATCTGATCTTGAGTAGTATTGAGAGAAGTAAGCTGTTGACGAAAGCCTGTAGTCTGTTCGAAGTGGCCTTAGTGACGTGGTGCGGTGCCAAGTCTCTGATCCCTATCGCAAGTAGCACTGACTTCACACCTATGATTCAATTCCCTCACCGGATTTAATTTGTTAAAGAAGAATCTGTTGACTAAAAACTACAAAATCTCCACGGAATCTTGGTAAAAAAATGTTTTGCGACCGGGATTCATAGACAAAAACTCTAGAGCCAAAGAAAACTTCGTAACAGGTCCAATTCGCCCACGAAAAGATTCTGGTGCTACTTAATCCCCAATTTAAAAGTGAAGCGAAAGCAGAAATTCTTCATAAAACTACTTTCGAAATCTCTCAGCAAAACATACTTCTCCGTCAGCCTAGAATTAGCACTTTCCTGCAAGAAGATATTCAACACACACGTGAAAGACGAACTCTCACATTCGGGGACTTCAACATGAGTGTAAAACTTCGCTTGCTCCATTCCTGTGCAGCTGAGTATATACTGGCCGCACTATGCCTCCGCTTGCAAAGCGCGCTTGGGAGCACTGTCCAGCCTGGCTATCAAACAGAGAGTACAAGTATGCATATAGTTCGGTAAGAGAACATCTGATTAATTCAGGACATTCAGCTCTGCAGGATGAAAAGTCCTACGAATTCATATGTAAGGGCGCAATCAAACGTCTTTCAAAGGGAGTGAGATCAAAGCATCTGGGCATAACTGAGGCACTAGTGATCCAGAAATTCAAACCAACGCGGCAAATCCAACTAGCTTTGTCTTCACCATGGTCATTATAAAAAGTCAGTTCTCTCAGTAATGATTGTCCTGCTACTTTTCATATCTAAACTTCCTGTTTATTTCTGTTAATTTTACGTTTTTTAATCCCTATTTGTAGCCTTATTAATTTGCCCCTTGACCGGAAATAGTCCTGCAACATTCCTACCCGCTTTACCATAAATAAATATACGAATGGACAGTCTAGTTCACGACTTCGTTATAAACAGGAGTAATCTCCATTGTGGATAAGATTTTATTTTGATAAAATCACACAGTGTTGTCATACAGTAATATTAACTGATGACTATGCTTCGGGCACAAATTATTACCGCTCATAATCATATCAAGTTACTCACACAACCTTTTCCTTCATTTATATCCATATGTGGAATTGACTAGATATTTGAATAAAATCAGTAATATAGGATAATGTACATTCAGAAATAATAATACGAGTGTTAGTGATCAATTACAATCAGATGGGAAATAAGACGAGTGTTTCTATAGTCATAATAAGTAACTTGTTAGAAGCTTGTGATGTGCTTGAATTGAAACAGAATTTTAAGATTATTTATTACCCTCCTCTGATTTGACTGCCTGGTGGTAATAATATCTTCCATGCATATCTTTGGTATTTGCATTGAGTCATTTCTGTTGCATGTGTTGGGTGTAGACTCAATGAACAAGGATTCAGTAATCAATCTCCCCTCTCCCAACCTATTGTGCAGTTGCGTGCTAATGCATGTAGTGCAATTGCTGAGCTTTTCTCTAAATTACTTATCTTCTTGGCGTCAACCATTCTTACCTGAGTTAAATTCTTATGTTCTGACAATCTGACTACCCCCACCCTATCTACTAGTTTGACCTATGTAGTTGACCTCACTCACAGTCATCGCAGCGTATTTTGTAAATTATATTTTATTTTGTCTAATTGGGTCAACTGGGTCCTTTAACCTACAGAGCTTGTCCCTGAATGAGTTTGTTGGTTTGAATGTCACCCTAATTCCTGCTTTATTAAGAATCCCAACACGTAGGGTCTCAGATGTCCCCTCCTTATATGGTATAACAGTAGATGACCTATAATCTCTCTTATTTATGTTATCATTACTAGTTTCACAATTATTTTTAATTTGCTCTTAGCCTTTTTCGACCTTCCTAATGAATTTTAGAGGATAGTTATTTAAAACCAACGCTTCTTCTATCTGTTTTATTTCATCATTTAGGTCTTTTCTTGTGCTACTTAGCTCTATTGCTCGGTTTGTTAGACACTTAAAACTAAGCCTGTCTCTACAGATAACGGATGAGATGAAATTAAGTTTAAATATCTATTAGTAGAATGCGTTGGTTTCCTATAAACACTAGTGTATAGTTTACCTTCTTCTATTCGTTTTATTTTGCAATCTAATGTCATAGCTAATTCTCCTCGCTCATTTTCGGCTTCAAATGTGAATTTTATTCCCTCTACTAGTGAGTTTATGTGCGCTAAGAAGCTAGAGAGAGATATGTTCTGTTTTTAACACTGTGAGTGAAAGTGTTATCCACACATCTCCACCATATTATCTTTGGAGTAGGATTAAATGTTGTGTTAAGAGCAACAATTTCACAGCTGTCCAACTTATATAAATCAGAAACGGGTGTACTATGAATACAATTCAGAAAAAAATGAGAAGCATAACTTACTCGCTTCGTATCGATCGAAATATTTGAAAATCCAGGAACGTTAACTGTTCAGAGATATCCAGCGCGGACAACTGATCAAAATTCTTCTCTGATGGGATCTAATATTTGCAAAATACCAAAGAAAAAAATGAAAAAACAAGAACGGCGGTTATACTGTGGGATTCATTTAGTGCTGTAGGCTTCATTGATTATATGATGAAGTGTTTACGACAATCTTTTTGAGTCAGAGGTGCTTTTTAGAGCATTTCGTTCATCCTATGGGATGGCAGGACTCTTCAAGTATTGTGAATTGTGTGTTTGTATAGGAAAATACAAGCTAGGTAGACCCTTCATTGGAGCCAGAATGGAAAACGATAAGTTCGGCATCGATCCAGGGGTGATATGGAGAAGATCGTGCAAGGAGGAGCTGACAGCTCAAGGGCAATCACGGAGACAGCCACAAAAAGATTACAGAGAGCAGAGTGAAACAGAAACGTGTTCCTGAATTCTTATGTTCCAGAGGAATAATAACAATAAGATGAAAAATAATAAGGAGCCAACAGAAATACGTTGTAAGAAAAAGGCGTAAACAGCGAAGAAACCGCCTTTCTAAATGTCTGAAGAAGACACTTCCAACAGAGCCACCTTACGTATCACACATTCTCCAGAAAACAGTTAATCCTGTTTAACGTTAAGGATAAGATACTGCTTTTGACCACTTCAGTGTGTATTTATCAATTAACTTTCTCGTGTGGAGCGAAGAATATCCGCCATACGCAATGTCAAGTCCACAAACGTATTCTGGAACACTGTCCAGCTTGGTTAGCCTGGCAGAGGAGAAAAGAAGAATAGCATCAGCTCTATCCTTGAACACCTTGTCATCTCCGGACATCAAGCACTTCCACTTGCATGAATGCTTCACAGTGTTACACAGAGTCTCTTAATATCGTACAAAGGGACTTCGAATACGCCATCTGTATATAGCTGAAGCATTAGCTATTCGAGATCTGAAACCCGACCTCTGCATTCAAAAGCGTTACATACATTCTATTGCCCTACCATGGCCAAAGTAAAGTTCTTACTGCTATTTTGCTTCTTTCTTTTTTATTATGTAAGTTCACTATTATTGTTATTACAACTATTATTTTATTATCATTATTATTCCCATCATCCACATTTTATTACCACTCTATTACTATTTATTAATAACATTGCTTTCATACATATTTTATATAGAAACACTTTATCACCTTTCCACTAGTTCCTGTCCATTCTACACGAGCTTATTGATTAGTCTTTATCTTACACGTATTACGTCACGCCAACTTCTGCCTCTTTTCTAACTTACAATTAGTCATCCCTTCCAGGTTACACCTTACATTACGTAATACGTTTTTCGAGGACAAATTTTACCAGTATCCGATTGGTCTAAATATAATAATATAATTTGTGAACTATAATTACGATTGTACAGCTCATGAAAGTGAATCGTCGAAAAGAAAATTTCCTTCGTTGTTTACGCCTTTTTCTTGTGACTAAATATGGGAATATGATGGAGAAGATTTATAGCTCAGGTGGATAATTTTCATGTGGTTGTATTCTCTGAGCTGGATAGTTAATTTGCGAAGCTTTCATCACCCTAGTAGGTGACATCTTCAGCGCAGACTTCAATTCGAATTGAAGTGAGCTTTTAGATTTCTCCACGAGTTTATTAATCATCTCTCCTGGTGGGTCACCTTAGACGTGATTGGTTGTTTTTGTATGTTTTCACACCTTCTAGGCTACTTGTATTGGAACTGATTGTTTCCTTGACTTGAACTTTGACCCTTTGTGTGTGTGAGGTTGCCTTCTTATCAGTTGATAAATTTTGTCAATCTCGATGTGTCTATTGGTTGATGATTCACTGGGATACAAGGTATTCTTCTAAAAATTCTCTAGCATTCTTGTTGTTTCCTCTGTCTAATATTTTAACACTGGTTGTCCCAGTCGAATTGATGTATGTGGTTGTCTGTATGTAGTGATATGAGGAAGTGGATGTCATGTCTTTTGACGGCTAGGTTATGTTCATGGATACGAAGACGAAGGGGACGTCAACATTGACCAATGTAGTGTTTTTCGCAGTTGTTACAAATTATTTCATTATTTTAATTGTAACAACTGCGAAAAACACTACATTGGTCAATGTGGACGTCCCCTTCGTCTTCGTATCCATGAACATAACCTAGCCGTCAAAAGACATGACATCCACTTCCTCATATCACTACATACAGACTACCACGGACATCAATTCGACTGGGACAACCAGTGTTAAAATATTAGACAGAGGAAACAACAAGAATGCTAGAGAATTTTTAGAAGCCTGCCTGGTATTCCAGTGAATCATCAATCAATAGACACATCGAGATTGACAAAATTTATCAACTGATAAGAAGGCAACCTCACACACAAAGAATCAAAGTTCAAGTCAAAAATAAACAATCAGTTCCAATACAAGTAGCCTAGAAGGTGCGAAAACACACGAAAACAACTAATCACGTCCAAGGTCACCAGGAGAGATGATTAATAAACTCGTGGAGAAATCTAAAAGCTCACTTCAACAAACTGAAGTATGCGCTGAAGGCGTCACCTAGTAGGGCAATGAAAGCTTCGCAAATTAACTATCCAGCGTAGAGAACACAACCACATCAAAATATGGGAATATTTCTTTCATTGAAGAAATACGTTGTTGGACCGATAAGAAGACTATAGAGGATCTGGGTCCTGTGTAGGATTTATGTCTAATGTCACGAAAACTCCATAACTTACAGGTGAAAACCAACAACAGACTGGCTGGAGAGGCAAACACGGAAGACATGACTTCAAGTACACACACACACACAGAAACAACGGAGGTGATGACGATAACCAACCAACCAACAAACAGCTGATATAGGTTCAGGCTGGGAAAGAGCTAGCGGCGGTCAAACCAAAACATGGCACCAGTCAGTGAAATCTAAAACAGTTAGTCTAAGCCACGTAGGAAGGTGTAGATTTCCTAACTGGTTGGGTTCCTCGGGACGGTAAAACCAATGGTTGGAAACAATTGGTGACATGGCTCAAAATCGTTCTCAATGGCTGCTGCAGATGCATCCACTCCTTGTGACTTATGATTTTCACTGAAACTGTTTTGTTCTTCGTTATTACTATTCCTTTGTCTCACACCTCTGTTTACTGTCTATATTATGCATTTCTTCTACTTTCTTCTGTTGCTTTGTGTGCTACAAGGAGGGAGTGTGGCGACTTGAACTGCCGCACATCGGTGCAAAGTTCTATGTCGAAAACAGACAGACAGAACCAACCAACAACAGCATTTAGCAGTAATCTTCCTTGACTAATCTGGCTGGCCAGTATCGTTTCAATTGCAGACGGTACAGCACGGATGAAGATATCAAAACTAGCCAGGATCGGGAAGGCAAGCCAGACCTTCATGACTCTGAAATCTTTCTTAAAAGCTGCTGAACTCATTACAAACAAAATGCCACACCACTATTAAGTCTGTCAGTGTTTCTATATGGGTCAGAAACTCAAAGCACGCTTTATGAAAAGAATTTTATCAACAGCTAGCCGATTCTCTGGCTTCCTAATGAAGATTAGAGGGCTGGCAAGCCAAGAAGAATCTGCAACGAGAAACTCTAGGAATGAACCAGCCAAGGACCTACTGCTCACCAAACAGAGATGGATTGGAGAGCGTTGGCTGAGACCATACAGCAGACTATCACTCAAGTAAAAACCCTAATGGGAAACGGTGAGTTGGAAGTGGGTCCAATGGTGACATGGAGAAGATCGTGTAATGAGGAGGAAATCAAAGCTGACCGGTAATCACGGAGCCACTTAAAAAGATACTTCAGAGACTGGAGTGAAATATGGGGGTGCTACTGAATTCTTATGTTCCAGAGGACTAATAACAATAACAATAAGAAGAAGAATAGGGAGCCGACAGAAATACGTTAGACCTATAAGAAGAATCTAGGAGACTTGGACTCCTCATGTCTTATAGGCGAAAATTAACAATTTGGCAATTCCATATTAGTTTGTTTATTAGATGTATCACACAGTTTGTGAAGCAGTATTAGTATTTACTGGATGACGTTTCGAACAAAATTTATTGTTCATAATCATATCGCCAATTATAATCACACAACTTTGACACTTGAGTTTTATAGTTTTCTTTGTTCTCTCCTATTTGTCGTTGTTGGGGTAGTAGAATTTTCCAGATGTCTGGCTGGACAGGTGTTGAATCATTCCTATTACATGTATCTGCAGTTGATTCGATAAACAAAGCTTCTGTTATCAATCTCTCCCAATACCCTGTGACTTAGATTTGAAAACTGTCATCCTATCCCATCCTATTGTATGGTTGTGTGTAACTGCATGTAGTGAGTGCTATAGCTGAACTATTCTCTAGATTTCTTATTTTATTCGGGTCAACCAATCTAGATTTTGCTGCTAGGTTTTTATGTTCAGCTAGCCTGACTGCCCCTGCTCTACTAGTTTGACCTATGTATTTGACCTGACAATCATTACAGGCAGGGTATTAGATAAACTAAATTGTTTTGTTTTAAAGGCTCCACTGTCAGGATCCTTTAAATGACAAAGCTTGTTTCTAATTGAGTTTGTGGTTGGTTTGAATGCCAGCCACTTTTATTCCTGCCTTGTTAAAAATTCTGCGTAAGGTGGTTTCCGAGGTTCTTTCCTTGTATGGAATTACTACTGATGATTTAGATTCTTTATTGTTGGTGTCGTCATTAATATTATTATTATTATTATCATTATTATTGTTATTATCACTATCGCTACTATCATTATTTATTTTATTTTTACATTTCCTTACATATTTCCTGACTAATTTATCCGGGTAATTATTAAGTTTCAAGGCTTCGTTTACGTGTATCACTTCCTGTCTTATCCAGTAAATAATACTGTTTCACTCACTGTGTGATATATATAATAAACAAACTAATATGTTTGTACTTACTACCACAGTGCCCAAGTTTTACACATATATTAATATATCAATTTGGCACAAGAGGCTGCCAGCAAAGACAGGACTTCAAGTGAACATAGAGGAGAGGGAAGTGATGAAGATAATCAACCAACCAACAACAACAATAGGCTCCTAGATCACTATCAATGGAATAAATTTCTTCATTTATCCAGGTACGACAGATATGAGGATATGTAAACTAGGATTGGAAAGAAATGTCAGACCTTCTTTTCTCTCCTTTTCCTTCACTCTCCCCAGTGGAACATAGGGCTTCAAGCTAGTGGCTTGAAGTTTCTGTAGCAGTGTTTATTTTACAGGATGGGGTTGCTAGCCTCATGCCCAACCTTTCCTCTTCACCAGCATTATTTCTGGCTTACCGAGGTAAAGGAGTGCGTTGGCGGCCGGTGATCGAACCCCGGACCATGTGCATGGTCGGCGAGCGTCCTAACCGCTATGCCACCGACGCACTGCCAGACCTTCACCATTCTGAAATCAGTGTTGAATTCTACTGCTAAACGCGGCATGAACAACAAAACTCCGGCTTTCGACACCATTGTTAAGTCAATAAGTCAGTCTTTTTTATATGGGTCAGAAACGAAAAGCATTCCCAGCAGGAGACTGCAGACTTCTGCTGACAAGTGCCTACCTCACTGAAGATCCAGTGTCCGGTCAGAGAGGACAAGCAACAAGAATCTCTGGGAACAGACGAATCGATAACCTCCTCTTGTTCAACAAATATTCCGAAGAGAGTGGAGATGGATAGGACGCATGCTGAGCGGACCGTCGTATGGTGACATCACACGCCAGGTCATTGCTGGAGTGGAACCCGGATGGAAAATGGCGAGCTAGACGTCCAAGGGTGATTGATATTGAGGAGATGAAAGCTTATGGATAATAGTAGCGTCAGATGAAGAGGACCTTCAGAGAACAGGGTAAACTGGAGGTGTACTTTTGAAGTCCTACATTTCACTGGAAACCCGACGAAATAGTAATAAAAATAAGTATAAGCAGTCGACATGTAAACAGATAGAGAAGTTCGGAAAATACAAATACCATCGGATACCCGTGTAACAACAGAAAACAAGGACCAGGCAGCAGATCGTTTATTAAGGAAATCAACACGTATTTATAGATTTTCATGTACATTATTATAGATTATTGTTAGCAGAAAAACACAGTCTTCTGATTGGTGGTTGTTTCTCACTGAACGTTAGTTAATCTTTCATCTCTTTGTGGCTTTTTCTTGAAGGTCAGATCGTCTATCTGCGAATTGTATCCGCCTATGCAAAATCTGCTGTGATTGGTCGTTGAATCAGTCTTTGTTCATACTTTTCTCACAACCAATATTGACGTGAATTATTGTCTACCAATTTGGCTTGCAGCCAGCTTTCAACACACCCTCTGTACAAGAGGTAGCTTTTATGGCTCAAAAGTCCAACAGATAACCAACCCTATTGTAAGATCAATTCAATTCCCACCTTTGAATCAAGTCAACCTGTCCCGGATCAGCCTAGCGTTGTTGCAACCCAATTATCCATGCTTAACGTGTCTATCCCACCTTGTTTAATGAACTGTGTGTGTGTTTTTACTTCGATCCGTTTAGTCAGACAGTTGAACTCATGACCCAATCAGAGTATTTTTGTGAACTGTTATTTTACTGACCCATGTCTTACTTTGTACTATTCTGTCGAGTTTATCTTATTTATTGATTGGTTAAGTAGCCAATTAAATTCTATCTTTGTGCCTATGCTCTGTCTATCTCTTACTTGGGTTCATTCTTCTACTGACTGCTTACCTGAACGGTCGTGTCTGATTCCGGCTAGTTCGCAATTTCGGCTTTAACGTTATTCCGCTCTGATAGCGGTACCTTGCTTTCTGTTAAGCGTTGTGCTTTTTACTCTTGAAACTGTTAAAGTTTGTTGTATATATATAATTATTGATTTGTTTATTGATAGTACCGTAGAAACAGTGACCGACTTCTTGTTTGTTCTGGACCGGGATAGCCGTTATCTACGCGTGACTTAATTTCAAGCGATATTGTGCTTACACCTATGGTTCTGGAAACCATAGATGGGAATATCGGCAATCTTTACAGATGCAGGTACACATTCAACGGATAAGTACCAAACAGAACAAGCCATGCATCATAGATTCAGTCGGTGGCGGTTACTCAAAAATACAAAATAAAAACATATCAACTAACTAACTAACTAACCAGCTAACTAACTTACCTGTGTTGGAGTTAATATGCTATCAAGATCAATCCGATCATGTACCAATTGATCAGAGATCATTTGAAGTAACAATTGACCAGCCACTTTTTGATCATTGGGCATTAAATGTGGACATGTGACCAGAGCATCCAAAAGGGTTTGCATTTCACGTTTTAAAACTGAATCACTTTGAAAATCCTGGGTATTTTTTGTTTTAAAGAAAATAAGAGAGGACCGGAAATAAACAAAAACAAAAATAAATAGGGGGAATTTGAAATCCTAAAGGAAGTCAATTTATACTACTATATTCATGTAAATGGGAAACAAATGCTATCCCTAGATGTCGCATCACTATTAACCAGTGTATCACTCATGGAAACTGGGGAATTCATATGCCAACAGATTCTAGAAAAACAGTTCGACATCGGAATTCCAGTGGTTAATCTGAAAGAGTTGCTTTTTAGATGTACTATGAATGTACACTTCACATTCAACAACCTTTATTACAGACAAATCGATGGTATTGTCATGGGTTCTCCATTGGGTCCAATTTTGGCAGATTTCTTTCTTGCTAAGTTTGAAAATGGTCCATTGCTTATGTTCACTTGTGAAGAAGAACATGACGGTAGACTAAACTTCCTTGATGTTCAATTGAGCAGAAGAGAGGATGGTTCATTCAAGAGAGATGTCTATAGAAAACCAACATCTGTAGGACAATATACACATTTCTTCATTTTTTTAGCAGTCCGATACAAAATCAATTTGGTCAGATGCCTCATGAATAGAGCAAGAAGGATCTGTACAGATGACTCCCTACAAAATGAGTTAGGCAGGATTCATCCAAAATACGCTGGTCCAAATGGGTTATCCTAGTAGATTTGTTAGGAGACACATGAATACCAGATAAAACAAAGACAAACTGACAACAGTTAAAAAGAAAGAACTGTTCATGAAACTTCAATTTAATGGGGACGCGGCTAGTGAAGTCTAACATCTGAGATTATCGAGAGCAATAAAACGGACCTATACTGCCGCCACCCTTTGCTCGCCATTTTCCAGCTCTCGACCAATTATGATTGCTCTAGCGAAAGACAAGCTACCTAGCTGTGCCACTTCTATGTGTATCTACAAATTTAGTTGCTCCTGTGGAGAGAGCTGGGTATATGGGGCGAACAACTAGACAGCTCAGCAAACGCACCACTAATGAGCACCTTCCTTCATGGCTCGGAAAAGGCCAAATAAAGTCTATAGGAAGTTCCATTTTGTCTCATTTGATTGATAGTGGTCACCAAGTGGACAAAAATAGTGCCTTCAAAGTTATCTATCACACATTTCATCAAGCCCTTCGAACGGAATTCGAACCCGCCTTTTACACACAGCCAAAGCAATGGGAATTCGAGAGAACAATCCTAGTCTTTGCATACAACAAAAGAAGTTTGTTCTACCTTTGTTCTGCCTCCATTGGCCCTTTCTTATTTTCCATTTACTTCGTACTTTTATGATATTTATTTAAACTCTGACTATCTGTCCACTTCACCTTTAGTAATACTATTAGTAGTAGTAGTAGTGTGGTGTTATTCGGCGGTCTTTTTAAAACTTGGGCTACTAAAAGCCCTCCATGATTATATTCGGTATAATTTCCCTTAGTTTAATTTGTTTTAATTTATTATAATATGACCTCTGATGGTGTTTTTGCTTACTCTAGCGAGTATTTAAAATGTCTGCAACCTTGAGACAAAGCAACCTTATGGGTGGCAACGCGTATCTCAATACATGAGTGAGATAACTGTTCGCGTATTATTTCCTTGGGTCTTAAAATGTACTCTTTCACCTTTTTAATTGGCTTTCAACCAAATAGTGCATTTCTCAAAGAAGATGAAGAGGAAGTATCAGTAATCTCGTCCTATTTTGGGACTCATCGTCAGCGCGCACGCGCAGGGGTTCGAACCCAGAACCTTACAGTTAGAAGTCAATCTCGTAGACTGTTCAGCTAATGTGATCAGTTCCACTGGCCAGTCCATGAATTATAACTTGTACCAGTTCGTGGTTTTAGTCTAACTGTCACCAACCAATGCCACCTATGACGAGTACTCGCCCTCATGTCTGATTGGGTGTAGTTATAGTGAGAAGTTGTAACCACAGGAGTCTACCAAGTCCGGTAAGAGGACGGTTAATCGCCAGTAAAGCTGGCCGGTGGTCCTGCTATACATATTTATCAATAATTGGCAGAAGTTAGAATTCCTGGACTATTGGATTGGGTTCCAATGGCTGATTGGTCTACGAATTCACCTCGTAACCCGGAGGCCCTGGGTTCGAAGCCCTGTGGTTGGTGCGTAATGCTGAGGAGTACCAAGCTAGTTAAGGTGGCATTTAAATCAGCTAACCAACCAACTCACTCAGAGGTATACTTTATCGACGCAAGGACCTGATAGATCACGACATACGATGTAATGACTGTGAGGTCAATTACGCATAGGTCACACTTGTAGTAGATTCGGGTCAGTCAGATTATCGGAACAAAGAAATGTAGTTAGATCTAGAGTGGCTGACCCCACTAAGTTAAACAACCTAGAAAAAAGGTCGGCCACAGCACTGCATTGCATTCACTTGCGTATAATCATCACACAATATGATGAATGGGACAGAGTGAAAGTATTAAAGGGTGATGTGGTTAGGTGGAGAGAGGGAGAAGTCAGTCACTGAATCTTTTTCAATCAGTTCAACACCACACACGTGCAATCGAAATGACGCAACGCCCATATCGTGGAGATATGGAAAGTGGTAACAAACGACAAAGGGTGAGAAAGAGAGAATTGGTAAGCCGTGTGACTAAATAGTGATATAATTGAGAGCAACAATAAAGTGTGCTCGAAACGTCATCCAATAATCAATAGTGCATTATTGTGTGCTATATGAAATAAACTCATCTAACATGGAATCACACTAGATTAAGAACTCCGCCCGCTGGAACAAGCTGGAGTCAGGAAAGGCAAGTCATTTGCTGATCGAATTGCAACTCTACGCATCGCCATAGAACAAAGCATAGAATGGCAGTGCAACCAGTATCTTAACTTCATCGACTTCGAAAAGACGTCAGACAGACAGCGTTGACTGAGAAGTAGTTTCGAAACTGTTTCAACACTACGGCGTGTAGTGCCCAAGTCATTATCAACCTCATTCAACAGCTGTCTATATGACAACGTAATCACTTGTTAGCTGATCCACAACGGAAAACTCAGAAAAGCCTTCTGTTGAAGTAAACACAAGAGTAAGACAAGCTGGCTGCTTATTATCACCGATGATATCCGTGATTGTGGTGGACTGGATTATGCGTCAGACTGTGGGTGGAGATTGTGAAGACAGGAATAGGCTGCACCAATGATTATAAAACTTTATATGATCTGGATTTCGCGCGTGGGTGATTCCTGTTTTGTGTGTTACACACAAACTTGAAGACTTGCAGGCAAGTGAAAACCAACAAACTGGCTGAAGAAGCAGTCGGCGGAGACAGACTTGCAGGAAAAAACTAAGAAGACGGAGGTGATGAAGATACTCACGCACTGACAACAACAACCAACATCTATCACTATCAACGGGAGAGGTTTCATAGAGGTGACATCCTTCACTTATCCAGCTAAGAATAACGGCTTCAATCACAGACAGAAAGAACGGATGAAGATGTCAAAGCCAGCCAGCCAGAGAGGATCGGAAAGGCGAGATTTGCCTTCATCAACCTGAAATCAGTTTGAAAATCTTTTACACAAAATTGTGATTTTCAAAACAAATGTGAAGTGAGTCAGTCAGTTCTTCTTTACGAGTGAGAAACTGGCACTGCGCCTCCAAAGCCTCAGGATGGTTGGGAGTGGGTGCCTTGCGCTGCGGGTTGGCCACCCCTCCTCACACCTCTTGAAATCCTCCCATATGACCGGGTGTCTTACATAGCCTCTCCTGAGGAAGTCCTACTCACTGCCTCCACGTGGCGGTGGTGTTTTTCCCCAAAGTGAGAGGGCGAAAGCGGATGCCCGGCGCTCTTCACTGGGTTAACTGTCCATTGGATGACAGTATAGGGGAGATGGCTAAACCCTGATTCCAAACCTTCAACGACTGGCGTATGAAGCTCACTGGAGCTCACTGGCAGACGTATGGACAAGGGGCTTGTTGGATGTCCTGGATGTCTGGCCCCATTCGAAAATGCGTATGAACCGAACTCCGGTCACCGGCTGCCAATGGATAGTGGACTCCCTACTCCACTCCTACTGCCTTGTAGGTCACACTTGATTATGTAAAGGCTAGAGCTGCACTCTCAAACAAAAGGCCGAGCGATTCTGGGGACTTCACTCGTACCAAATTCCCATGAAACTTCATGAACTCTCTTCGATGATTCGATATGTTCATGAAGCCGGCTCATCCTCCTGAAGGAGATAGTCGCAGTAAAGAAAGAAAGAAGATCTGTCACGAAAGGGATTTCCAGCAAAGCTTGCTACAGACTTTCATCAACAGCAGCCCCCTTAGCTGGCTGACAGGCGGGTCAGAAACAATTAGCAACAAGAGACTCTGGAATGGGACAAACCAACCAAAAAGCGACTGCTCAACAGATATGTGGGAGAAAATGGAGATGGATCGGGCACTTGTCAAGCAGGCCATCAAATGACATTGCGCTAAAAGCAGACCATCGCTCGACCGGAATCCCAATGGGAAGAGACGAGTTGGTCGTCAGTACGAAGGTGAAGTGGAGGAGGTCGTTTTGGAAGAAGGAGATGACAGATTATGGACAGTCTTGGAGCCGGCCAGCTGAAGACGATAGCTGAGAACATAACAAAGTGGAGATGTGCTGATGAAGCCCTATATCCCACTAGGAACCCAAGGGATATAAAACAATATGGATATACATCCTGCTACAGTGGCAAAGTTCTACACGTACACTTCAATCCCTGTCTTCAAACTAGGCGTCTGTGTGGATTAATGGTAAATTCGACCTGGGAAAAATGTATGCCAAACATACCATGCCTTCTGCTCAAAGTGGGGTCAGATGACTCTGCATTTTACCGGCTCATTTACGCATAAAGACTATATCATAGGCATATTTTAATTCGACAATATAAATATGAAAATAAATAAATCACATTTTAAACAATTTTCTAAACTTACATCAGGAAATTTAGTTATCCAATGTCTTACAACATTCAACACACGGAGACATGATGCTGTAGCCAACATTGTATTCCTTTTAGCCTGATTTGTACAATGATGAGATGTTGTCCCCGCGGGAACACCAACACCACCAGATGAATGTTGAATTAATGTTGGACTTGTTAGATTGTATGAATGAAAGCTGAATGTATTATTTGCTGATACTGACGGATTACTTGTCGTTGTATTCAAACCATTCCTGCCAATATTATAACGCAAGGCTGTGTTGACTGTCGGTGGTGTTGTTTGAACCAGTGACGATGAATTCACTGTGCTGGTTAATGTTGGTCCTCCCGGTGGCGGCGGCGGCGTCGTTGTCGTCATCGTTCCCATTGCTGATTGTGACACTGGATTATTGGCACCAGTTGAAATACTAGGATACATACTAGTAGTAGAAGTACTCTGGGCAGAGGAACGACTTGTTACCGCCGATGAGACAGCAATACTTGTACTACTACCTGAAAGAGAACTTGATCCTGATCGTAGACCAACTTGTGCAGCTGCAGCTGTTGCTGTACCTGCAGAGAAACGATATCCACCTGGACGAAATAGATTTGGACCTAAACCCATGATACCGACAGCAGCTAAAGGGTTTGCACTGCCGGCTGTGGCGACAGCAAAGGCTTGAGCAGCTGCAGTATTGCTCGACCTAAAAATGAAGATATATGTATATATACATATATGAATGTTTTTAAGATAGAGTGTACAAGAGATACAGTTTACATATATATCTGTCCAAAACAAAGTTCACAGTGGATAGTTTGATATTCATTATTGCAAAAGTTCTTTTTGTATTTCCCAATGAATGAAGAACAAAACGATATTGTTGTTTCTACTGACGTTTCACTAAATATGCTGCTAATAGCTTTGTCAAAGTATTATTAAGCCAGAATTTACAAGATTTCAGTTTGTATATAACAACTTAATCACCGTTCATCAGCATGACGTAATTTTTGCATTGTTCTCAAGTTGACCAAATGGTAAAGATAACAAAACCAGGTGTAGGTTATTGTTGGATTTGATAAGCGTATAAAGTTATAAGGGGAGTAAGACAAGCTGGCTGCCTACTATCTCCAATGATTAATTTCCTGATTGCGGTAGACTGGATAATGCGACAGACAGACAGACAGCAGGCAACGAGGAGACAGGCATAAAATGGACCCTAACGAAAAACTTGGAAGATCTGGACTTCGCCGATGACATATATATGTCTGATTTCATACAAACACTGGAAGAAATGCAAGTGAAAAGCAAAAAGTTGGAGAGAGGAGAAGCATCAAAGATAGGCCTTCAGGTGAATATAGAGAAAACAGAGGTAGGTAGCAAAGATTCTTGTTCGACAGCAATAACGACAACAGCAGACAGCAATCAGCATAAATGGAAGAAATCTGAAAGAAGCAACCTCCTTTACCTGCCTACCTGGAAAGCACTGTTTCAACTATAGGCGGACGGAAGTGATGAGAGTATCAAAGCAGCAAGGATCGAAAAAGCAAGGCATGCTTTCATTTCTCTCAAGTCTGTGTGGGTATCAACAGCACTACTCAGCATGAAAAATGAGATCCGGATTTTCAACTCCAATATGAAGTCAGTGCTACATGCTATACGGACTAGAGGTTTGGCGCCGCGTCACGAAGGCCACATCGAACAAACGCCTGTATTTTCTCAATATTACTCAAGATCAGATGGCCGGCCAGAAAAGATCAGCAACAGGGATCTCTGGCAATGAGCGAACCAACCCAGCAGGAACCGATTGTGCAACAAATAAGCAGGAAGAAATGGAGGTGGATTGGTCATACTCTGAGAAAACAAACCATTAAGTGAATGACATCACACGCCAGGCCATTGATCGGGTGGAACCCGGCCGAATAAGAAGCGGCCAGTTGGTCGTCAGTGAGGTGACATGGAGGAGGTCATGTGAAGAGGAGATGAGAGCATGTGGACATAATTTGATCCAGATGAAAACGTTGGTGGAGAATCGAACACAATGGAGATGTGTGGCTGAATCCCTATGTTCCTCTTGGGATTAAAGGAAACAATAGTAATAAAGTTATACGAACAACATGTGTTTACATAATGAGAATCGCTTATCACAAGTATGTTGTAACCAGGTCAAAAGAGGCGGAGCACTTAGGTCTGACATAATTAATGGACGATGAATGTGAAGGGAAAAAGTGATTGCTGATGCGTGTGGCACAAAGTATGGCTCTAGTGAGTCTTTGGGCGTTCGATTTGATGGTTTCAGTGGTTACAATAAATCACTGGAGACTTCATAAACATCCAGCTAAGACGAGACCCAAACAAAAACAGAATGCTCATCCTGAATTCCATTAGTGCCAAGCATCAGTCAACAATAACTTCACTGTTGTTGAATGATCAATATTAATCTGCAAAAAGCCATGGACCTAGATTTTGTATCTGTTAGTGGTCGTCAGTAAGGCATATCTACAACCTGGGTGATTGGAGAGGGGTGGGGGAGAAAGTGATGTCCATTTGGAGATTTTCATCTGAGCCACACATTGCTGCAGTCATAGATGTTATTATTGAGGCTAGTGGTTCATCTCCTGTGGGATTGAGCGTTAAGCAATTGCATATGTCTAGTCCAAAGCCTCAGTGTTGGTCGAATTCTATCAGCCATCATTAATAAACCCCTAATGTTGCATATCCAGGCCATTTCGTTCCATGAATCATTTGAAAAGTTATCCTATTTCCCATGGATTCACTGGACTGAAACGTTCAATTTCTGTTGAAATGGTGGGTCTTAGTGTGTACGCTCCAGAGATTTCTGTGGATTAACGGAATTTTATTTGGTGGATAGAGCTGGCAGTAGGATGCAGGATGAGCATTTATCCTATTCCAGGTTTGTCAGCTGTTGGATGTACCTGCATTCTCCGGAGAGGGATAGTGTTCCTTACTCAAATCCAAACACAGTAGCCTTATCCACTAGACCACTTGGGCCACGAAAATCACCTCTCATGCAACAAATATCAGTCGCCTTGGGGACAAGATCTCACATCAGTTCACCTGTTCCTGTGGAGCCAGTTGCATCGGTCGTTTGATGCGATTCTGTGAATAAAGGACTGAAAAACACTATTCTACCGCTTGGCTGAAAGAAGATAGTAGTGGCCCCACAGGCAGTGAGGTAACCGAACATCTCGTCAACAATGGTCATTCCATCTCAGCAAATGCCTTTTTCAAAGCAATCTATCCATGAAGTGAAGAATAACCTACCTACGCTTTCGTCTCCTTTGTACTGATCGAGTCGTAGCCATTCAGCTGGGAAAATCAGAGTTATGCATACAAAGGAAAATCATCCAACCAGCCATTTCTGCTATCATCGTAACAACCTCTTTGTATTCTACTGACTTGACATTTGTTTGCTTGTTTCTTCTAACTCCTTCTAACTCTTGTATTTATTTAGAACTCTTACGTAATTCCATATTTTACTTCGTTTCTATGTTCATCCAAATCACAACTCGTTCATTAAATTACTCATCCTATTACGTAACTATAATACAGTTACTAAACTTCTTTTATGAGTTGGCAACTGACTACTGCAACCCTCTTACTAATCTTCTTCCACCCTCCCCATCCCACTACCAGTTACAATTTGATTATCGAATAAAGAAAGACTGACTGCAGAAGCCCTGCATCTATGGGTGAATCCCAACAGTTTGGACATACGTGAAGGTGTGATCTTGTTAGCTGATGCATGGCAAATCCTGACTAATAAATAAATTGGATATGTATCAACAACTAGTCACACTTGATCAAATCCCCGATTGTCTACGTCTTCTTATGGAGAGAATATCAAATTTATAAGATTATATTATATTTGTAAAAATACATCTCAATTATTTTGTAGCTATCCGGTCAAATCTTGATCACAGCTCATATTAGAATAACAAATGTTTTATGTTAATTTCGATTAATTTCCCTGAATAGGTTGGGACCAGATTGCCGAACAAGGGGAAACGTTGGAATTGCTCATTTCAATTTCGCTGAGATTCTACAAATATATTTTGTTTTTACAAATATCTACTTCTCACTCGGTGCCCAGTTATTTCGCAACTATTCGGGGAAATATTTTGATCACAGTTCATATGAATAACATCTCAATGGTCATCATTAAAATGTTGGTGGAGATATATATGTAGACGACACGTTCGTAATAGTAAAAAAAAACGATATTAAGAAACTCTTCTCACACATAAACAGCCATGTCGACTCAGTAAAATTCACTATGGAAATAAAGAATGAAACAATTTGGGGAACTGCCTATGTTAGACTGCAAAATACAAAGAGTAACAGATGGTAGGTAGCATAAGAATGACACTATGTAGAGAAACCACATACTCTGGAAGATTCCTTGATTATCATTCAGCTAATCCACTCACGGTCAAACAAGGATTAATACAAGGTCTTGCAGATAGAATACGTAGACTTACAACAACACCAGAGAACCAATGTAAAGAAATAAACGTCCTATTCAAAATGCTACTCGATAACAACTACCCAAAAGAATTTATCAAAGATAATATAAAAAACAGAAAAAAGAGGGTAAAACCGGAGAATGACAAGATGGAAGAATGCAAAAAGACAGTCACAATACCGTATAAAAATGATACATCAGAGGCAATTCAAAGAAACCTCAAAAATATCGGCATTCACACAACTTTTAAACCGACAAATCTAATCAAAAATAAAATAAATCAACTGAAACATCCCATAAAAATGATGGATAAAAACAACTTGATTTATAAAATATCTTGTGCTGACTGTCCGACTTAATATGTGGGGCAAACGTCCAGATCAATCAAAATAAGAGTGAATGAACATAAACGCCTAACCAAAGGTCAACCAACAGGAACACAAGCTTACATGCATGGGACAAAAACCACAATATCGATTGGAACAATGTTTGTATTCTAAAAACTAACATGAACAGATGGAAAGAAAGACTTATAACAGAATCTATATTCATTAAGATCACACACCGGATACATGTAACAAGGGTGACTCAGTACAACTATCAACAAGCTGGAATATAATTCTGAATACAAAAACATGAATGAACTTGGAATATAACGTAAATACAAAACAAAAAAAACATGAGTGAGCAAAAATAATGAACTATATATATGAGTACAAATCATAAATGTGTGAATCAAACAATTCCAACAGTGGTGTGAACACGGGCAGTAATTTTGCTGGAAATATTACCAATAACAAAACTTATCATTGTGTGTAAACTATTGAAATATAATTATATACTTTATTTGATCTAATCCACAATGCTCAAACTGTTTACTGACATTAATCTCCATAGTTCTTTAGCTAATATCAATTTGTGACGACATCTCTTCTGAAATCAATAAACCAGCGATTTGACCACTTATGTGTCTATCTACCAGTTTACTTGCTCATATGTAGTGAGCGAGGCAGACATAGAGGTCGTTCGAAACGTGTTTTACCTAAAGTGGTTGAATAACATTCTCCCTTTTGCAATCAACGCACACAGATCAAATACTCAACAATAGTAGCAATAATCCAATTACTCACAAACGAAACTGTGCGCAGACATTGTTTAAAAGAGTTCAAACACACATTGTAGCACTGCAGAGTTGAAAAGAATGGAAGAAAAGTACCTACAAACGGTCTTCAAAAAGAATGGATATCCTCAAAATTTCATCAAAAAGTGTTGAAAAATCGAATCACAACACCAACAAAGAACCACCATCAAAGACAACAAGAAAATTCATTCTACCATACATGAAAAATATCTCTGAAATAACAGCTAGAATACTGAAACCGTTTGATATAGATATAACACACAAACCAGTCAAATCGCTTAATTCGATATTATGCAAACTGAAAGATCCAACAGAAAAAGGGGATAAAATTAATACCATTTACAAAATAAATCGCATGCATGAACTGTAACAGGCATTACATCGGCCAAAGTGGGCGTCCCCTTCGAATCAGAATCCAAGAACACAAATCAGCCGTGAAAAGACACGATATATATATTCTTTAGTATCAATGCATATAGACAATTATGGACATGAATTTGATGATTGGGATAACGTCGAAATCTTAGACAGAGGAAACACCGAAAGTGCAGTCAGGGAATTCCTAGAAGCCTGGTACTCAAACGAATGTGCAATTAACAAACACGTTAATATAGACGAAATATACCAACTAATAATAAAAAGTAAATCAGGTGACCAGAAAGTTTAAAATACAAGTCAATAGAAAATGGTCAATGAACATATGTTGTAAAGATGGTTACCGGGAGACGCAGTTCTATCTATCGCTCATGAAGAAATTTAAATCATTTCACTTTATGTTAAAAATTGGGCTGAAAGGGGATGTTGTCCAGCAGGGTGGACGACGAAAGCTCCACAACTAAACCAACCAGCTCAGTGAACACTATTAATTGCAAATCATCTGCCTGAGCGACAAATCTTCTCTGTTATTTTAACATTATCCCTTTTGGTTAATGAAAGGGCAACAGTGGATCAATAAGAAGTGCTATAATTGAACAGATATACTCAACACTGGTCACTACTCAACATTTGAGCAGAAGATTTCTATTAATAAATCCAGGCCTCTATAGTTTCACTTAGTGATAGGAGCAAAAAGAAACATATATATACGTTGAATAATTACCGTCGTTTCGATCTTCTTGAAGACGTGACTACTGCACCTGGTCGAGTACGCTTGTTCGAAGCTAGTTCACTTAACGATGGATGTATAACACTTGATCTTGGGGATTCAAATTCTGCTTCAGGACAAGAGAAAACTGAAGGACGTTTAGGCTTTGAAATATGTGATACACCAGACCCTGAAAAAAGAAGAAAGAAAAACAAAAATTGATTTTTAGAATTAATTCTTTTAGACTTCAACTTCTGATTTAATGAGAGTTCGTAAAGCAGTACTGAGTAAGTTTCGAAATAGATATTCAATGAGCATAAATTATGCATTAAAAAACTATCTACAAATGATCAGGATTTTAGTAAACCTTCTCTAGTTCCTTTAAGGTTATTTTTATTATACCAAACGAGAGTAAATCAGTTTACTTTGTAACGACAGACGACAAGGGCCGGAAAACAGATCGTTTGTTGAGAAAATCAAGAGATATTTATAGATTTTTATGTACATTATTGTTAGCGTTATTGTTAGCAGAGAAGCATCGTCTTGTGACTGGTTATTTCCTTGCTGAAGGTTATTCTGCTATCTCTTTGTGGCCGTTTCTTCGAAGTCAGGCCATATATTTGCGAATCGTATTTGCATACGTTAAGTCTGCTGTGACTGGTTGGTGAGTTCCTTAAGGTTAGGCTTTGTTTTTGTTTTTTCTTATGACCCTGATTTGGGACGCAAATATTGACACAAACTGTTGTCTACAATTTTGTCTAGCAGGTAGCTATCACCACAAATTCAGATTTAGATTTTTCCCGTCGACTGACTGAACCGAAGTGCTCGTCATGAGGCTGGCGTGTCGGCTCTTTGTGCAAATGTTTAGATGATGCCTGGTCATGTAACTTGAAGTCAGTTGGTGGGTGATGAGTAGCAGTGGAATCTAGGATGCGCATTTCGTCCTGTTTAGGAATTGTCTCAGTGAGATGTACCTGTATTAAATTGAATAATTATTAAGACCTGGTGCAAAAGAGGCGGTTCTTTTAGACCAAGTGGTCTAGTGGATAACGCTTTAGTGTTTGAAACTATGGGCACTGGGTTCGAGCATCGGTGGGGACACAACCACTCACCGGAGAATGCAGTACATCCAGCAGGAGGATGATTCCCAAATAAGGCGAAATGTTCATCGTGGATTCCTGTACTGCTAGTCAGCATCCACCAGTTGACTTCTAGAGTAAATTAGTGTAATTGTGTTCTCTGAGCAGATTAGTTCATGACTGTGAAGCCTTCATTGTCTCATTTATCTATTATTGAGACTGCCCCCTGTCCTATCTGTTAAACATAATACTTCTTGACCATTCACTTACAGTTCAGTATGCATACCTACCTCCTTTCGATAGCCCCTACTACTTCTAATCTTATAGGAGAGAAAGAACGCAAATAACACTGTATGGAATTTTGTCTTGTCCATCTTTTTGGGCAGTACTTTCTTCAGCGTCTCGACTTGACACACTCAAAGCATCAGTCTTTCTTGGCACTCATTCGTAGCACTGCTACTTCACGCTGCAAATCTCTAATTTTCTATTTCCACTAATTCCATTTCTCTGGCTCTGTTGCGGCCACCATTGTGCTCAAAAGCTGTCTAGTCACTTTTGCTAGCTTACCAGTGTCCATGGGTTGTGCAGACTTAACCAGTTGTAGTTTCTGAGAAATGTGGTCTTGAACATACTCTCAATAAACTGGCTTTTCATCCAGTGTGGGTGGTTTGCGACGTAGTAGGTTCATCAGCTTTGCCGTCAACACTAGCACGGAACTGCTTCATCGCCAGCTGTCTATCTATCGGTCTGCAGACCTCCGCCACCAGTTGTTCAACCAATACTTCCCGGGTCTCTTTATCACTTGACCACTACACAGTTTCGTATGCCGCCTCTGCCCACCCACTCAGAGGCGTCCCAAACACCATCGCCTTCGCCGTCGGATCCTTGATGCCCACCAACTTAACACCCCAGGATGCTGCTAATGTCTCCTTCCTCGAAAGCAGAAGACCTCGGGACCTTCACTGTCTGCAGACAGCAGCACCAGGTGCAACAGCAGAAGACAAGAAACTTGGTAACTGAATGTTTATTTTGGAGCCTGATATCTTTATATAGGGAAATTATTTACAGCCTATATGAAAATTGTCATTTGAACAGAGGTTCCGTGCTATACTACTTCTGCCGTTCCTTCATATCGTGTTTCTTTGTCTTCTTTTCGTGTCTCTCATGTTTCTCCACAATACTGGTTGTTCATTTCCCACTCTTTGACGTCAAATCTATCTCTCCGCTATTTGATATTTTTGTGCCGTCTGTTTACATACTACTGATAAATCTTCTCAGTAGCACATGCCACAACAGCATCTTCAAAGCAGGCTTTAGCATGGAGTAAACTTCTTCGAATCCTCCCCAATTTATAAATACATATATATGTATATATAAGGAATTATTATCAGCCAGGATTTGGGAACGATTGGATATTGTAATGCAGTTTCAACTAAGTCCTTCCGAATGCTATAGGCACTTCGAAAGGCTGTCAAGTGAATCGATGAGTCTGTGTTCGAATTCCTTTACGCTAAACACGTTAGACCACATCTACAAAACTGTATACAAGCAACTAATCCATACTTCAGGAAACAGGCGCATATCTTGGGAAGAGTACACATGGTAGGAACCGATTTAGTTGGCGGTATCTCACAGCTACCTTATGTAGAGAGAATAAGACATTTAAATCTTCTCCTGTTTCCATACCGAAGGAGAATTTGATTTACGGATTGACCTCTTTTAGCCTTTCCTCTCCGTCTCTGGGATAACCAACATTATCGACAAGATAAATTGCAACGACTGTGGACACCCTCTTAGTCTTCGTAACTATGAACAAAAAGTGATCTTCAAAAGACACAATATCCACTCTCTCACATCAACGCGTGCAGAAGATAACCTTAGACACCATTTCGATCAGGATAATGTTGAAATCTTCAACTCAGGGAACACAGAAATGGTGCCAGAGAACTTCTAGAAGCCTTGTATTCAAGTGAATCGACAGTCAACACACACAAACACTGTAACTCAGACAAGATTTACCAGAGCATAGCAACGAAATCACATGAATAAAAGCTCAACTTCAAGGTCAAGGAAACAATCAATAGCAATACAAGTGAACTATACAAAAACAACCAGTCACTTCCAGAGCTAAGAGAAGAGGTGACTTATAATCTTGTGGAGAATTTTGAAAGCTCACTTCAAATTGAAGTGTGGCACTGAAGATGTTGTCTTGTAAGGTAATGAAAGCCTTGCAAGTAAAGCATCCAGTTCAGAGAACACAACTGCATCAAAAGCCACCCACTTGAGCTGTAAATCTCCCCCATTATATCTAAATTATGTCTGTGGATCGTCACATAAACTCGCGTAAATTTTTAATTGACGTACAATCTATTGGTGTGTGTGTGTGTGTGAAGAGGAATTGTCATAGAGAATTACCCTCTCAGATACATGTACGAAATTCTCCAGCCAATGAAACAGAATATCTCTGCAAAACCAATACTTGAAAATTGATCTGATGCTCACTAGCAACTGGCGCTATTCAGGCAGTTACCTGGGTTCCTAGTGGGAAGTCGTGACCAGTAGGGTACAGCAGGTTGAAGGGGAGGCAGTAACTCATCGAAGAAGACATTGTGATGTGGTCGCACTATGTCATCAATTGGCAGAAGTTAGAATTCATGGGTTGGCCATTGGATCGGGTTCCAGTGGCTTAACGGTCAACGAGCCCGCTGGCCTTGTAACCAGGAGGTCCTGTGTTCAAGCTACGTACCGCCGAAGAGTACCAAACCAGGACGAGACAGCTGTCCAGTACTCCCAGCTGGATTTTTTAATGGTTCTCTAATCGATGTCAACTCATCATGAAATCCTCCAACGAATCAAATATGTATGAACAATTTTCAAAACCATATATGTATATATATAAAAGGGCAGATACTTACAAGATACAACGGAGCCCCTGGCACAATCACCAATTCCCAACTGGTGAGGGATTAATGAATCTTGTCGTTCTTTTACCATAATATCAGATGGTACAGTCTGGTTATTGTTATTTGTTGAAGACGATGATGCCTGAAGAGTTTCTTGATGGTGTCTACCTTCTTCTGAGTTATTTGAATCTTGTCCTTTGTTGGCCTTACGTAAAAGTTTACGCTGAAAAGGTTATAAGATATCTCGTTTATAAATAGTCAAACCCAATACTGTAATACACATTAACTGTAACAACAATCGGTTCAAAAAGATCGAAGTTATTCATATATGATGTAAGTTTCAGTGTATCTGTAGAAATTGGACACTGTGGTACTATGAAATTCCATATTAATATGTTTGTTATATATATATATATATATATATATCAGGCACACTGAAACAGTATTATTTACTGGATGGTGAAGTTTCGAACACAATTCATTATTTTATATGTGTCCAAACCAAGTTCACTTTTAACAGTTTGAAAAAAATTGGGCATTGGGTACATGATATTCATTATAATAAAGGTTTTCTTGTATTTCCCAATGAATGAAAAACAAAACGATATTGTCTTTTTTACTGACGTTTCGCTATTTAATGCTGCTGCTAATAGCTTTATCAAAGTATTATTAAACCAGAATTTACAAAATCTCAGCATATATATAACAAAGAGTTAAGGGGTGAGAAAATAGACAAGTTAGGTCAAGTTAAAAGGAGGACATATTGAAAGTCAAAATAACAATGAAGATCACTAAACCAAATAACAAAGGTAATAGTACATCTGTTATGGTATCAAAACAAAGTTTACTAACTTGATCATCGTTCCTCAGCATGGGGTCATTTTTGTGTTGTCAAGTTGGTCATTTGGTAAAGATAACAAAATCAAGTGTAGATTGTTGGATTTGATCAGTGTGTAAAATTATAAAAGTAGTGTGTGTTTACATAATGAACTTGCATATCACATTCGTGTTGATTTTGTCACTTGATGGGGGAGGGAGGTGTTGTAACCAGGTCAGATTCTGTTTTAGTCCATCATTCCTATTCAGACAATTTTGATTCCACTTGATATGAAGTGCTTCTGATATTAGACGTTCTTTGTGATTTCTGAAATTTTTTCTGGATTATTTCAATATTGTCAAAATCAATTTTGTGACCTGATTCTATAGCATTTAGATTTTTGAAGTTTTTCAAGTTCAGGTCACAAAATTGATTTTGACAATATTGAAATAATCCAGAAAAACTTCAGAAATCATAAAGAACGTCTAATATCAGAAGCACTTCATATCAAGTGGAATCCAAATTGCTTGAATTGGAGTGATAGACTAAAACAGAATCTGACCTGGTTACAACACCTCCCTCCCCCATCAAGTGACAAAATCAACACGAATGTGATATGCAAGTTCATTACGTAAACACACACTACTTTTATAATTTTACACACTGATCAAATCCAACAATCTACACTTGATTTTGATTTTGTTATCTTTACCAATTGACCAACTTGACAACCAAAAATGAACCCAGACTAACGAACGATGATCAAGTTAGTAAACTTTGTTTTGATACCATAACAGATGTTATTTGGTTTATTGATCTTCATTATTATTTTAACTTTCAATATGTCCTTTTAACTTGACCTAAGTAGTCTATTTTCTCACCCCTTAACTCTTTGTTATATATATGCTGAGATTTTGTAAATTCTGGTTTAATAATACTTTGATAAAGCTATTAGCAGCATTAAATAGCGAAACGTCAGTAAAAACAACAATATTGTTTTGTTTTCCATTCATTGGGAAATACAAAAAAAACCTTCATTATAATGGACAATTCGTTATTGTTCATAATCATATCATCAATTGTAACTACACAACTTTGAAACTTCCGTTATATAGTTTCCTTTATTCCTCTCTGTTCATCGTGGAGGTAGTAGAATCTTTTAGATGGCTACAACATCTGTTCAGTCATTCCTATTACACGTGTTTTCAGTTGATTCGACGAATAAGGCCTCAGTCATCAGTCTCTCCCTCCACTCCATCGTATGAGAGCTTCTGAGACTGTCATCTTATCCCATCCTATTGTATGGTTGTGTGTGTAACTGCCTGCAGTGCTATATATTTGAACTATTCTCCAGATTTCCTATCTTATTAGGGTCAACTAATCCAGATTTTGGTAAGATTTTGTGCTCTGCTAGTGTGTTTGATGCCATGCCTACTCTACTCGAGCATTTGTATTTCACGTGACAATCAGTGTAGGCTTTTGGAAGCTTTGACCGACATAATTTGTTTCTAAGTTAGTTTATGGTTGATTGAATGCCACTTCTGTTCCTGCCTTCACGTGGTGGAGGTGTTTTTCACCAAAGTGGAAGGGCGAAAGCGGATGCCCGGCGATCTTCACCGGGTTGACTCTCCATTGGATGACAGTCTAGGGGAGATGGCTAAACCCTGGTTCCAAACCTCCAACGACTGGAGTATGAAGCTCACTGGAGCTCACCGGCAGACGTATGGACAAAGGGCTTGTTGGATGTCCTGGATGTCTGGCCCCATTCAAAAAGGCGTATGAACCGAACTCCGGTCACCGGCTGCCAATGGATAGTGGACTCCCTACTCCACTCCTACTGCCTTGTAGGTCACACTTGGTTGTGCAAAGGCTAGAGCTGCACTTTCAAACAAAAGGCCGAGCGATTCTGGGGACATCACTCGTACCAAATTCCTATGAAACTTCATGAACTCTCTTACAAACGACTCTGATATGGAGTGCCTGGAGCTACAAACCGTCTATGGACTCCGTCTGTGGAACAAGAATTGGATAACCCTGTCGCAAAACCTTGCATCAGATCGCCGCGCCTGGGCTGCGATGGTTCGAGATGTTCATGAAGCCGGCTCATCCTCCGTAGGAGATAGCCGCAGTAAAGTAAGTAAGTCTGTTCCTGCCCGCCTGCCTACATTGCTAAGAATTCTAAGTGAGGAGGTTTCTGAGGTTCATTCTTTGTTGGTGTCATCATTGTTCTGATGCACGTTTGTCATTCACGCCACCCTTATTGTTGTCACTGTTACTACTATTATTATTACAAATTTTATATTTGCATTTTCTTGCATACTTTCTGATTAATTTATCAGGGTAATTCCTTCGCCTTCCAAGTGGAACATAGTGGTATCATGCTTTAGCTTTGGAGTTTCGCTAGCAGTAATGTTGTTTTTACGGGATGATGTTGCTAGCTTAACATCTAAGCTTCCCTTTTTTTATCAGGATTCCGGCCGGCCAGGGAAGGCAGAGATGTGCCCCAACCGGGAATTGAACCCGGGACCATGTGCATAGTTGGCAAGCATTCTGTCACTGGACCACTAACGTGCAGAAGGTACCCAGTAGACACAAAAAGTTCATTAAAAACCAATCAAGTGATTACCTCTGAATAAAGTGTTGATATGTTTTTTTACACTATTTTTTCAATGATTTTTAGATCCTACGACAAAACGCCAGTTAGGGAGACCATTGAAAATAAACCCCAGGCATTGGACATATCCATTTCATCCTATTCTGGAACTCTTCATCAGTGCGCACACCCCACTGCACCAGCAGTCGAACTCCAGACCTTCAGGTCACGAGAACAACCTCAGCCATCTGAGTTGGAATTCGGTGACCGAAAATCCAGAGCTCCTAGAGCCTTCCTATCGGTTCAGCGCATTCCTCTCATCTCGCTACTTACACACGGTCTTCCGTATCACCTAATCTATCACATTTAATAATAACATCGGTGATAGTAGGTGGTCTTGTCCTACATAATTCTAATGTATATGTGTTCTAAAACGTTCACTTGAGCGATTGGATTATCGATCAACCAAAAATAAAATGTGTATGTAACACTTGAATGATCGAGATCCTAGATCACAATTGACCATTTTATTATATTCACATTGTAGGATTTGTGGGGTATTTTGGATTCATTACAATAGTTCTCTTCCCGATGGGATCATGGGCGCACACTGATGAAGAGTCTCAGAACAGGACGAAACAGTCACATATTTCCTCCACCTGCTTTCCAATGATTTCTCGACTGGTGCTGGTTAGTGACAAAATTGACACCAAAATTAAAATTATTACTGAAATGAAATCTACATCAGTAGTACCATAATAAATGAATTTACTTCAAATAGCACACAGTGGTGCAGTATTGATTACTAGATGATTTCGCGAGTAGGATTTATTGCTCATAATCATATCAATTTTAGTCACACGGCTTCACAATTTGTCTTATATACATATATATCTTCTCTTTCTCTTTCTCCGACTGAGATGGTTAGGACATACGTTACTCAGGGCCATCTATCCATCGCCTTCCTCGACGGTGAATGCTAAATGACATTGGATCGAGCTAGTCCTCATAGAGAATGGACATCCTCCGAGGTTTATCGAGAAAAACATGAGGTTAAGGGAAAAGCCTAAAAGAACTCAGAGAGTGCCGAAGAAACTGCTATTTATAATTGATGAATTTAAAGGTGATACAGCAGCTGAGATCTTGAAGAATCGCTTATGCAGATCACTGAGGAAAGCCCCCTTTATGGTTAAGCTACGTATCAATTTCTACAGCCGACAAATGATCAATGGATGTGTGGAAGATAAACTGCCGCTTTGGGCCACCTCAATATGCGTTTATAAATTCATCTGCTCGTGTGGAGCTAGTTATATTGGCCAAACAAAGTGCACATTTTCCAAACGCACCTCTGAACCTTATCCGGCATGGTTAGCAAAGGGACAATGTAAGACAATTACTAGCTCAATTCTCGAGGAATTGGCGAACTCAAAACACCCAGCTCCACCACAGTGGTCTTTCAAGATTATCTACGAGTTGAGGATAAATGGTACAAAGGGCGTCAGGTTTCTGCTTTTATGTATGGTGGAGGCGCTGGCGATTCGTCAATACAACCCCAATCTCTGTATGCAGAAAACGTTTGTCCAGTCTCTTATTGTATCATGGTATTAACCGATTCACTGATCGTTCCTTGTAAAAAAAATTTTATTTTTAATTTTGTAATCTTCAATTTTACTTTTATTTTGCTTTTACTTTAATAATTAATTCACTATTATCACTCTCATATGTTCCCTGTTGTACATTTTTACACCCTCTTCACACTTGTTAAATTGACACTCAACTACCTTTATTCTCACTTAATAGCAATTTTAACCTTATCAAATTTCTATCTTTGTGGTATTGAGTACCACGTAATTTACAACTTTTAATTTTCACTTCTTAAGCTACTTCCAAGTAATTGTATCAATTATATCACCCCCTATTACTCAATAATAGACCACTATATATTTTTCGGTAAGTATAAAAACGACTGTACAGCCTCTGAAGATGATTACGTCGGTAAAAAATTTTCATCTCTGAATTTATCTTTTATTCGGATTATTTGGGGAGCTCCTTGAGCTGACAAAGCTTATCTCTGAGTAAGGTGCTACCCTAATTCCATCCTCATTGAGAATTCTATGTGTAAGGCCTGTTCTGTCGTTCCTTCACTACATGGCAGTACTACAGAGGCTTTGAATTCTGTATTATTTTCATCCTTTCTGTCACTTTTTTTGCTAGTCTTAATTTTTCTATACTTCTCCATATATTTCTGAATAAATTCTGGTGGGTAGTTTCGTTGTTCACTGGTAATATTTCCTTTCTTCGTTTGATTTCGTTAATTAAATCGTCTGGCGTACTAGTTAGGCCCTCTCCTCACCAGATTATATAAACATTTGACTAAACTAACCTGTCTTTATCGATTCTGAATGGGATGAATTGAAGTCACCCACTTGTTAATACGGAATCACATTCTACCACTACAGTGCCCAAGTTCTATACTTAAATGAGTAGTACTTAGAGAATAATAAGTAGTATAAAAATTTTCAGAGAAATATTCTTTTTCCTTTCTTTATTGTCACTCACTTGTTCATTCACAGTAGTATCTGTTTTCTTTTGTCTTATTACTTCAACTGAACTGATAGGTCTGGTTGACTTGAAACTTGGAACGGATCGTCTAGCCTCTGTTTGACTTTCACGTGTTGAAATAATTTCTGGAGTTGTTCTACTGTCAGTGGAAAACTTTGGAGATATTTTGATATTTTCATTTTCATGCGTTTGTGAGGCATCATGAATGTTTACATTTGGTTTTGTATTCTAAACAGTGAAGTGACAGTAAGGAAAAGAAATCAAAGTTTTAATGTTATTCTAATAAGTATCGTTATTCAATGATAATAATTTGCTTTATTCCAAAACAGTACTTGTGATACAGAATGGAATTCTCAGCATTTTTACTACAGTATTGCATCCAGTTAGTACATTATCAATAAATAAAATTCTACATAGATTAAGGAAATCTCAGTTCATTATGACAACAACACATTGGCATGTCGGTAGCAAAGCCAAAGTTGAACAGTGTTTGAAGGTGTTAGAAAAGTAGGTGCTGTCATATTTACTGGCGTAAGCGACAGAAAGAAACAAAGCAGCACATAACGGAAAAAAAGAGAGAAAAGGAAAAGAAAGAAAGAAAATGTTGTACCTATAAATGATATGAATTGGAAAGACGAGGTCCAGTTGTTCTACTGACTATTTAATAAGTTATAGGTATCACGCCTAATGCTTTCTTTATCTCACAGAACACGAGCTAAGTAGGGTATGGTTGAGTTTTTGTACTTGCTGGTGCGAGCATGTAGTTTTCTATATAGGCTTCTGGTTTTGCCTGATGAGATGCAAGGGGAGAGTTGTGAGTGAAGAGGGTGGTGTGAGTTAGATAAAATGGATTTGGCCCATTTTTCACACGAGTCCATGTGCCTGTCAACCAGAATATTAACAAGCTGGTTAAGTGGCACGTTGCTTACCCTGCTGACAACCTTTAACATCCTGCGTAATATGTTATAGTCTTTCTTCAGTAGCCCGGGAAAAACTAAGGGGGAACAGTAGAGAATAATAGGCAGAATGCGAGAATTGACGAATTGTAGGAGTAAGGGTTGGGTTATTCCAGAATGTTTTAACTTCTTAATGTAGAAGGTAAGACGGAATATTTTCTTGGAAATCGCCAAGATATGAGACGACCAGGAGAGATCAGCAGATAGAATGACGCCTAGGTATTTAATTTCCGACTTGGTTTCTATTTCAGTGCCATCTATTTTGCACACCTCATGAGAGCCAACCAGTTTGTTTAGGTCGGATTTATGCCTAAAGGTGAAATTGACTGTTTGGCATTTGGAGGGGTTCAAGGTAAGACCGTTTTCCTTGGACCACTGGCTGATTTCTGACAGAAAGCCATTTAGTTTGGAGCAATCACTTTGACATTTAATAGGCAAAGATACAGTCAGGTCGTCAGCATATTTGACAAAATTGATGTCGCTTGAAGATGGTAAGTCATGTAGAAAGAAAGAAAAGAGAAGTGGGGGGAGTACAGCACCTTGGGGGACACCAGCTTCAGTGAGCGCAGCAGAGGAGGATTTACCTTTGTATACGGTGTACTGCATTCTGTTAGAGAAATAGGAACGCAACTTATTATTATTTTTTTTAATAATGTTATTATGGTTATTATGACTCCATTGGATTCCAAGTGGAATATGGGACTTCAACAACATATCTCTACTTCGTCCTATTCTCTGCTGTCCTCTTCAGCTAGCTAGCTGAAAGATTGAAGATAATCTCTCTTCGCCTCTCAGCCCCTCGCACGAACACCTCCATGTCACTATCTTACTGACCATCCACTCGTCGCTTCCAATTGGGATTTGACTCGAGCGATGGCCTGCACTGATAGCCTATTAACGTTTGCTCAGTCGATCTCCATTTTCTCCCACTTATTTATTGAGCAGTCGCCTTTTGGTTGGTGCATCATCTCCCCCCAGAGTTTGCTGTTGCTAATTCTTTCTGGCCCATCTGCCAGCCAGCGAACAGCTGTTGATAAAAATCTACAACCTGTTGAAAATCCTTTTCGTGACACTCAGTGCAACCGTCTGACTGACTTAACATTTGTGTTGCATAGAATCCGAGTCTTGTTGATTATGCTGGCTGAGTGAGTGAACCAAAAAGATTTCCAAAGTGGTTTCAGGTTGTTGAAGGCGTATCTCGCCTTTCCAATTCTGACTGGTGTTGACATCTTTATCTGTTTCGTCTGTATGTAGTTGAAATAGTACTTTCTAGAAAAGTGGAGGAAGTCACCCCAAACAAATCTCTCCCGCTGATGGTGACTAACGCAGATTGTTGTTGCTGTTGGTTGGTTGATTGGTTATCTTCATCACCTCCGTCTTCTCTATGTTCACCTGGAGTCCTGTCCTCGCAGCACTGCTTCTTCAGCCAGTTTTCTGGTTTTCGCCTGCCTGTAAGTCTACGAGTTTGTGTGACATTAAACGTATATGGTCTGAGAAATCCAGATATTCAAGACACCACTCACACAACTTTCCGAATGTACTTTATCTTCCTTTCTGTTTCATGCATGTCTTATATTGATTTTATTCATATGTCTAGTCAATTTTTACTCAAGTATATAAACGAAGCAAGACAGTTGTGTGAGTAGTGTCTTGATGTGATTATGAGCACTAGTAAATTGTGCTCGAAAAGTGGTCATCAGTAAATATACCTGTATAACACTGTGTGATTCCCAACAAGGTTGAATCAAGACTTTATCTGCAAGAATCAAACTTTCCCCATCTCTGACAACACAAGGTTAAGCAGTCCTTCCATAGCATAACCCTGACATCATTCAAACAAAATCGCATGTTATTTATGTTATTAACGCCATCGCGTAAACGCAAAATAGAGATAAACAAACGTTACAACAAAGATCTACAGATCAGGATCAGAGGTGTTATTAATAAAATCATTTGAAACATTGATATCAGTACCAGTATTAATAAATACCAATGGTTGGAAACAATTGGTGACATGGCTCAAAATCGTTCTCAATGGCTAGCACAGATGCATCCACTCCTTGTGACTTATGATTTTCAATTAAACTGTTTTGTTCTCCGTTATTACTAATCCTTTGTCTCACACCTCTGTTTACTGTCTCTAATATGCATTTCTCCTACTTTCTTCTCTTGCTTTGTGTGCTACATGGAGGGAGTGTGGCAACTTGAACTGCGGCACATATGTGCAAAGTTCTATGTCGAAATCAGACAGACAGACAGACCAGTATTATAGATAGATTGTTCATTTAGGGATATTTTGATTGGAAGCTAGTCAGCAGTTAGTGTCATATATCTAGGTTATGTAATAACTTATCTATTTCACCCTTCAAAGGTGACCTTCTGGCTGACACCTTGAAGAAGAGGATATCTACTGCTCTCAGAAGGAAATTCTTCGCTGCCAAACTACGACTGATATTTTCCTCCCGGCCATTGTTCTCCAACTACTTTAAAGATAAACTATCGCTCGATGCGAGTTTTATCTAAAAGAGTTCAAGAACACTATCCCGCCTGGCTACAGAAAGGTAACAACGGAGCAATAAGGAGCACCATTATCGAGCATATACTCAACACTGGTCATTCGATTTGCAAGGAGAAGTCGTTCAAAGTCATCTATAAAGTCAAAAGAAGCCTTCCAAAATCGACAAGCTTCCGTATACTTTGTATTGCCGAAGCCTTAGCGATTTGGATAGAAAAGCCTGATTTATGCACACAGAAGAAACTTCTCCACCCCCTCCTACTACCGTGGGTTTAATTTCAAGTTTATCTGTCATCAACATTTTGTTATCAAATATTTTTTTTGCAATTTTCGTATAATAATTTTTAGTAACTAACCCATTCAATCTTTTCACCTATTATCTAGTTTATTTTCATAATTGTCTCCATACTCCTTCACTAACATCTAATCTTTCTAAACATGTCTATATTACGTAACCCTACTCACATCTTACCAATCTTCACCCCACTTAGTTACAACTTTGATTATTAATCACACATTTTAATTTCTTAATTATTTTGATGATGTAATCAACAACCCACACCAACTGTTATTTTGATTTTGATTTTGACAAACCTAATGTACACACACACACACACAAAATTAATTGTATATATTTGCGACTGTACAGCTAAGTGAATGAATTCGCCGAAAAGAGACTCTTCGCTGAACTAATTTGTTCTTATTATCTATTTCAATCTCGACGTATTACGTAAGCTACCAGCAGCAAACACTACAATCAATAAACAGTCCAAAATACTTAGTTACAGGATTTCATCATGAGCTGATGTCAGTTGGAGAACCATTGGTAGACCTGGGAATACTGGATAGCCGTTTCGTCCTACTTTGGGGCTCTTCATTGGCACACACCCACCGCGGTTTGAATCCAGGACCTTCTGGTTACAAGGTGAGGGTATGGGTTACAGCAGGTCAAGTGTGAGGACAAATACTCACAGAAGACATTGGCTAGTAGCTGAGCTGTATCATAAATTTGCAGAAGCTGGGATTCATGGACTGCCTATTGTATCGGGTCCCAGTGGACTAATGGTCTAAGAGCTCACTTATAACCAGAAGGTCCTTAGTTCGAACCCTGTTGGTGAGTGCGAACTGATGAAGAGTCCCAGACTAGGCTGACGAAGCAACTGTCCATTACTCCCTGTGGCTTATTTTCCAATGGTTCTCTAATCGATGTCAGTTCATGATGGAATCCTGTAACCAATCAATCAAATCCTTACAAACCAATCATTGAATATCAAAATCACTTACTTTATTCTTCATCACAGATCCTTCTGAATATTTCTTCGGACTAGACGGCGACGAGCGGATGATTTCTTTAAATTCTGGATAGTTATCCTCTAAATATTTCGACTGTATGCTACTGTTTACACCGGCGTCGGAACTACGATTCTCATTGGCTGTTGTTTTTTGTAAACCGGTGAATGCTCGAGAACAGTTCAGCGCTGCAATCATTGTATGTTTGGCGAGTGATTGGCAAGCGGAGAATGATTTCGGTGATTTTGTAATTGCTGTCAGTCGGGTAGCTAAATCTAAACTTTCAGCGACTGGAAAGTATTTCTGCGAGGAGTGACTGGGGGGATGAGGTTTGAAATTCACTGTTGATTGTTGTTTCGTTGCACTGGCAGGTTTCACGGGATGCGAACAGTTTATTGACTCGGATCTGTCTTTATCTTGTGACGTATTATCTGTGTGAAAGGAGAATAATAAACGAGTAGGAGAATTTATTCAAGATATAAGTATAAAACTTGGGCACTGTGGTGGTAGAGTATAACTCCATTATGGATAAGATTTTCTATTTTGATAAATCACAGTGCTGTTATACAGTAATATTAACTGATGACCATGTTTCGAGCACAAACTATTGCCACTCACAATCATATCAAGTTACTCATAGAACATTTTTCTTTCGTTTATATACATGTGTGGAATTGACTAGATATTCGCTCTTAATATATTTAATTCTACTCCTAAAATATGGTGGAGATATGTGGATGAAACTTCCACAGTGTTAGAAACAGAGCATATATATCGTTTCTTCACACATATAAGCTGAATTGTAAATGGGAATAAAATTCACATTTGAAGCCGAAAATGAACAAGGAGAATTAGCTATGTTAGATTGCATAATAAAACGAATAGAAGAAGGTAAACTACACATTAACGTTCATAGAAAACCAACGCATTCTAATAGATATTTAAGCTTTAATTAATCTCATCCGTTATCTGTCTGTGAAGGCAGGCTTAGTTTAAAGTGTCTAACAAATCGAGCAGTAGTAGTAAGTAGCACAGGAAAAGACCCGAATGATGAAATGAAACAGATAGGAGAGGAGTTGTTGTTAAATAACTACCCTATAAAATTCATTAGGAAGATCGTGAAAGGTCAAAAGCAAAATAAAAATAATTGTGTAACTAGTAGTAATAACATAAATAAGAGAGAATATAAGTCATCTACTGTTATACAAAATAGGGAGGGGACATCTGAGACCCTCCCTACGTAGGATTCTTAATAAAACAGGAATTAGGGTGAAGCATTCAAACCTACAAACTCACTCAGGTAGGACAGGCTCTGTAGGTTAAAGGACCCAGTTGACCCAATTAGACAAAATGATATAATTTACAAAATACCTTGCAATGACTGTGAAGTCAATTACATAGGTCAAACTAGTAGATCAGGTGGGGGTAATCAGATTGGTGGAACATAAGAATTCGGCTAAGGTAAGAATGGTTGACCCAGAGAAGATGAGTAATTTAGAAAAAAGCTCAGCAATCACATTGCAATGCATGCATTAACACACAATCACACAACGTGGTGGATGGGAGGGGGTTAAGATTCTAAGAAGTAATCTATGTAGGTGGAGAAGGAGAGAGATTGATTACTGAATCCTGGTTCATTGAGTCTACATTCAACACATGCAATAGAAGGGACTCAATGCAAATACCAGAGATATGTGTGGAAGATATTATTACCACCAGTCAGTCAAATCAGAAGAGGATAATAAATAATCTTAAAATTCTATTTCAATTCAAGCACATCACAACATTCTACCAAGTCACTTATTATTTTGACTATAAAAACACTCGTCTTATTTCCCATCTGATTGTATTTGATTAATAATATTCAAGTGTTCCAAGTGACCTTGGCGGCCTGCTTAAATCTTGGGCTACCAAATACCTTAATCATTACAAATCATATTGCATCTAATTGCTCACTTCCAATTTTATTTTAAATAATTAAATTTTATTCTAATATGTCCTCTAATCGGATTATTTATCCTCGTGAGTATTTAATATCCTTAAAACCTACTGATCGGAAATGCCATAAAAAAGACGAAAAAAAGCATCACGCCGGGTGGCAAAGAGCCTTAAAAAACACCCCTATTCAATTTATGACCGTTCCTGCAATCATGAGTACTAACTGTCGCTCCCTGCCAGCCAAGATTAACTATCTTCAATCACTTGTGTCTTCCATTATATATCGAAATACTGGGATCATATCACTTCAAGAAACATGGCTACATGATCTGTACGATGACAATCTAGTGTATCTAAATGATTTCAAACTATTCAGACAAGATCGATGTAGTTCTAGGAAGAAACGTAGTGGAGGTGTCGCCATCTTCATAAATTCACAATGGTGTACATCTAATAAAGTATGTTTCAAATTCTCTAGTGACAACATTGACTGCCTCACCGTCAAATGTCGACCTAAGCATTTGTCAAAATATAACTACATATACATCTCGAACATTTATATTGCGCCTGGATGCAATTCTACTGAATTGTCTTTATTTGCTGATGAATTTACCTCCTTTGCTGCCACCTCCTTCGGAAACGCCTTGTCTATAGTTACTGGAGATTTCAATTCTAGTGATCACAATTTCCTTATTTCACTTGGTCATGATAACATTGTCAACTTCCCGGCCCGAATGGATAATATTCTAGATCTTGTGTTCACAAATGACATAGGAATATTTGAAGCTCGGAAAAGAGCCCCACTACTTAACTCTGATCACTGCATCATAAGAGTATTGCCCAAGGTATATGGAAAGCTGCACAAAAGGGTCTTCTCCCACCTTGGAAAGAAAACACAACACAGATGCTATTCACATGATAACATACAGAATCTAAGAACAATGTTAAAAGACACAAACTGGGACCTGTTTACTGAACAAGCTCTTGACAACACAATTAGTAACATAACACATTATCTCAATTTCTGTCTTGATGTTTGTTGTCCTAAAGAGACAATCTTCTTAAAGTTCGACCGTTTTGCCTCATCTCAACTCAAAAAGCTTCGCCGTCAAAAAGAGAGGTTATACAAAATGAAAAATAAATCTGGTGTTAAGAGAATAAACACTTTGATTAAAGCCGAATTACAAAGATTAAATGCTCTCTATAACCAGAAGTTTCTTTCATGTAAATCCTCATCTAATATGTGGAAGCTATTAGAGGAAATCACAGGTGGTAAGCAAATAATGAATGATACTTCTGTCGATGTTGATATGCTTAATAAATCCTTCATATGTATCCCTGCAGATGTTATGATTCCCAAGTCTAATAGTATAAATAATGACTGCTTTTCATGTTTTAACACGAATGATGTCCTCAAGTGTCTTCAATCTCTCAAACCTACCCAGTCCCTTGGTCCTGATGGAGTTCCTGCTGTTATCCTTAAGAAGTGTGCTGACATCTTATGTTACCCATTAACTGACATTTTCAATGAATCTTTTTCCAAAAGTTTTATTCCTGACTCATGGAAAAATATCAAGGTTGTTCCAGTGCCCAAATCAACAAGTGGACCTACTGTCAAGTTTAGACCCATTGCTATTACCTCACCTTTTTTAAAAGTTATGGAAAGACTTATTTTACTTAATCTTGAACCCTCTTTAAAGCCTTTTAACGACCCCAACCAGTTTGCCTATAAACATAGTAGGTGTACCCTAGATGCCGCTGTAGTTCTATATCATAATATAGTCTCTCGTTTAGATAGAGGAGCCAAATATGTTCGGTGTGCCTTCCTTGATTACACATCTGCATTTGACTCTGTACCTAGGTCTCTCTTGTTAAGTAAGCTTGCTGCAACACAGAGTGAGAGCTGGATAAATAAGTGGTTGTATTCCTACTTTTCTGATAGGAAGCAGTACACTGTCTACAATGGAAAGTCCTCCTCTACCTCACTTACTTTAGCTGGTGTTCCTCAAGGTGCCGTTCTTTCTCCTTTTCTGTTTTCTTTTTTCTTACATGACTTGCCCCATTCTGATGTAGCCACTTTTGTCAAGTATGCTGATGACCTCTCTGTCTCCATGCCTGTCAACTCTCAGTCAGACTGTTCCATATTAAATAACTTTCTCTCGGAAATTAGTCAGTGGTCCTCTTCAAACGGTCTTAAGCTGAATCCGTATAAATGTCAGGTAGTAAATTTCACTTTCAGACAAAAACGTGACCTACAACAACTAGCTAGCTCACATGGTCCCACTATCATTGACGGCATAGAGGTTGAAACTACATCTAATGTCAAGTACCTTGGACTGGGTATTTCCTCCGATCTTTCCTGGTCCTCTCACATCTTGCTAGTGACTAGAAAGATGTTTCGCTTAACGTTCTACCTTAGGAAGTTTAGGCAGTCTGGTATAAAGCAGTCTTTACTTTCTCAGTTTGTCAATTCCTGTATTCTACCCATCCCTCTTTACTGCTCCCCATTAATCTTTCCTGGACTACTTAAGAAAGACCTTGCTTCGCTGCATAGGGCACTAAAAGCTGTTAGTAGGGCAAGTGGGATATCGTTAAACCAACTGGTTAACACCATAGTGGATAGACATATAATGTCATGTAAGAAACTAGCGAATACCATATTGTCAGACCCTGAGCATCCTCTCTATACACAGCTCTCTCCTTGCATATCATCTGGTAGAACTAGAAGTAACTATAGGAAGCTATATGCCAGGACTACCAAGTATAAAAACTCCACAATACCTTATCTGGCACAGCTGTTATGTGATGAGAAAACTGTTAGGCATGACATGATCAATTTACTGCGGCACTCTAACAAATAGTTCCCATGAGCTTTTGTTCTCCTTTCTTTGTTACTATTATATTGTTGCTCATATATTCTATTACAGACTAATTTTATATATCGTATCCTGTGGTGCACTGTTTAAATATGTGAATGCAATGCTGTTCTTTTTTTATTTTATTTCTTTTATTTCTCTTTTTCTTTTTGTTGTTGTTGCTTTATATTTCTAAATCCTTATAAAATTTATGAGGTAATTAGATGCAATATTGTAATGAACGCTGAAAATTCCATACCTGTACCACAAATACTGTTTGGAATAAAGCCATTATTATTATTATATTATTGTTATTTCTGAATGTACATTATCTCATATTTATTTTTATTCAAATATCTGGTCACTTCCAAACATGTATATAAATGGAGGGAAAAAGTTGTGTGAGTAACTTGATATGATTATGAGCTGCACTAATAAATTGTGCTCGAAACGTGGTCATCAGTTAATCTTACTGTATAACACCACTGTGTGGTTTATCAAAATAAAGTCTTATCCATAATGGAGTTATTGTTGCTTTTACTGATGATTCCCTATTTAATAACGCTAATAGCTTTATCAGAGTAGTAATATTATTAAAACAGAATTTACAAAATCTCAACTTATAGATAACAAGTTAATCATCGTTCTTCAGCATGGGGTCATTTTTGCTAAGAAGTCTTCCAAATTCAGCAAAATGAAACTAAATACCAACAGACTCCTTCAAGAAATGAAACCCAAAATTGGAAATTCTCTCTGGTTTAAAATAAAACCAACTATTATATACCTCCAAGATTCTACGGTCAACCAAAGATACATAAACCCACGGTGCCATTAAGACCAGTATTAGATCTCACCAACTCACCGACATACAACCTCTTTAAATACTTACTGTCGGTACTACAACCAATACAAAAGGACACTCAAAATGGTGTAAGAAATTCATATGATTTCAAATCCCAAACAGAACACCGATAAACTGATAATGAAGATATTATGGTAAGGTATGATATTAGCTCATCATATACTAGTATCCCTATTTCGAAAGTCTTGATATCATTTCCAGTTTACTAGAATCAGACACAACGCTATCATAAAGACGTCCACCGGACACCAGTGAAATAATTAAGAGCTTGAAATTCTGTCTAGAAAGTAATTATTTTACATTTAAAGGGGGTTTATATAGACAGATAAATGGTGTTTCTATGGGTTCACCAGTCTCCCCAATTGTCGCTGTCCTTTTCATGAATAGATTCGAAAATAACATCCTTTCAAGCATACTGACTCATAAAATATGGTCAAGATATGTAGATGATACCTTTGTAGTACTGAAACGAAATCTACACAATTCATTCCTGGAGAAAAATAAACTGTGTATCTCTCAAAATCCAGTTTACTTCGGAAGCAGAATTAGACGTCGGTGAACTACCATTTCTACACTGCCTAGTTAAGAGAAGGGAAAACAGACATTGCAGTGTATCTGTATTCAGGAAGAAAACCCACTCCAATAAATATTTAGACTTCGGATCATCACACCCCATCAGCGGAAAGATTTCAGTTGTTTCAAGTCTTTTTAGACGACCACACTCTTTGATGTTAACGGATAAGAAAGAAAAAGAAGAAGAAATATCAAACATAACTGAGACTCTCAAGCAAAACAACTACCCAAAAAAACTTCATCAACAAAATCAACACTAATATTAAGTATGGTCGAAAACATATTCCGAAAACATGGACCTCAACAGTCGTCATTCCGTATAGAGCAGAGACGTCAGATGATATCAGAAGAGTACTCAATCAGCTCGACATTAGAGTTTTCTTCAAAACATCAAACAGGCATACTGCGAAACAAACTTGTCCATATAAAAGACCAAGTCGCTGAAGATTCTCTATCTAATTGTGTCTATAAAATAAAATGCTTGGAATTTGATGCGATATACATTGGACAAACATCTCGAGAAATCAAGATCAGAAGAAATGAACACCGTAGAGCATCTGTTCGACCACCGAGAAATCCTGTTGAACTACAAAGACTTGAGAAATCATCAGCCATAGGTCTACATGCTATAGAATCAGGCCACAAAATTGATTTTGACAATGTTGAAATAATCCAGAAAAACTTCAGAAATCACAAAGAACGTCTAATATCAGAAGCACTTCATATCATTAAATGGAATCCAAATTGCCTGAATAGGAATGATGGACTATAAACTGAATCTGACCTGGTTAAAACACCCCCCTCCCCCATGAAGTGACAAAATCAACACGAATGTGATGTGCAAGTTCACTATGTAAACACACGCTGCTTTTATAATCTTATACACTTATCAAATCCAACAATCTACAACTGGTTTTATTATCTTTACCAATTGGTCAATTTAACAACGAAAAATGACCCCATACTGAGGAATGATGATTAAATTTGTTATATATAAGCTGAGATTTCGTAAATTCTGGTTTAATAATACTTTTGATAAAGCTATTAGTAGTAGCATTAAATAGCGAAACGTCAGCGAAAGCAACAATATCGTTTTGTTTTTCATTCATTGGGAAATACAAGGAAACCTTTATTATCATGTGTTCTTAGTTACATGAAATGGGAATGCTTTACTCTTAGGTTTTGCCGAACAGATTTCTTACATGAATACAATCCTGATCGATTTTCTTAGTAATTACCTCGAACACAAATAACCAAAGAAATCAACCTAACCTACCATCACTGACTGCCTTCTCACAATTCCCTGACGACTGTTGTTGTTGCTGCTGTTGCTGCGGTTGTCGATCATAATTGTTCTCTGTGGCCAACAGTGATGAACCAATAGTTTGATTTAAATAATTCTCCAACAATCTATCATTATCCTTTAAATTAGTTACTGATAAAGGAGATTTTTTCAATTTTTGACAATCTTCCGCATGTTTTATTCTACTATCAGTGTTATGCTCCCTGGGTGTGTCATTTTCATTATGATTGTAAACAGCAGCATCATCCTCTGCAACGCCATCATCGTCATCACCAACATCATCGTCACAGTCGTTGTAGTCGTCGGTATCATTTTTACATGCAATACGATTAATTGTTGTCCAGCTGTGACTAAATTGTTGACTATTTAAAATTGATAATTGATCCGTTGTTTGTTTAAAATGTCTACTTTCAATGTTTTGAGTATTGATTTTAGACATTGGCGCATAATTTAAATATTCCTTTGGCTAAAAATACAACAAGAAGAAAACGTAGAGAAAAGAAATTCAACTGATTAAAGTTGGCTGTCAAGACAAGGACTGTGATTAGCTTTCCAATAACTGCTTCTTCGAATAAAAAGAGAGAATGAATAAATGTTTACAGATTTGATAGAACGAGATGGTTTTATTCCGTGGATTCTCTTCAGTTGCCTACATCCTAAAGAGAATCAAATTTTAAGCTGCGAAATTTCTGAACGCACAATTTTTCACAGTGGCGTCGAGCTATAGACAGGCACTATAAGCAACATTAGCAATTCGAAAAATTCCATTTTGGATAAAATTTATTTTCATAAAGTCTCACAGCCTGGTATACAGTAATATTTAATGATGACGCCGTTTTGAGCACAATTTCATTGCTGCTCATAATTATATTAAGATACTACTCACACAACTTTCCGACTTTCTTGATATGCTTCCATTATTTCTCATCTCTTGATTTGATTGGAAGTACTATTTTCAATATCTCTGGTTTTTGTGCTGAGTAATTTCTGTTGCATGTGTTGGGTGTAGTTTAATCCATGAACAAGGATTCAGTAATCAACCTCTCTCTCCACCTACCTGCATTACTTCTTAGAATTTTAACCCTCTCCCAACCACCCTATTGTGTGGTTGTGTGTTAATGCATGCATTGCAATTGCCGAGCTTTTTTCTAAATTACTTATCTTCACCGGATCAATCATTGTAACCTTAGCTAAATTCTTATGGTCAAACAATCTGACTATCCCCACACGATCTACTCGTTTGACCTATGTAGTTAACCTCACTTACAGTCATTGCAAGGTATTTTGTAAATTGTATTATTTTGTCTAAATGGGTCAATCTGCGGGGTCTTTAAACTATAGAGCTTGTCGTATCTGAGTGAGTTTGTAGTTCTGAATGCCCCATCCTAATTCCTGCTTTATTAAGAATCCTACGCGTACGGTCTCAGGTGTCCCCTCCTTATAAGGTAAAACTGTAGATTCCTTGCATTCTTTCTTATTTATGTTATCATTATTAGTTTCACCATTATTTGTATTTTGCTTTTGACCTTTTCTGATATTCCTAATGAATTTTATAGGGTAGTTATTTGATACCAACGCTTCTTCTTCTATCTGTTTCATTTCATCATTTAGGTCTTTTCTTGCACTACTTAGTGCTACTGTTCGGTTTGTTAGACACTTAACTAAGCCGCCTGCCTTAACAGTTGACGGATGAGATGAATTAGAGTCTAAATATCCATCTTTTTCCTTCACGTTCCCCAGTGGAACATAGGGCTTCAAGCTAATGGCTTGAAGTTTCTGTAGTAGTGTTTAGTTTTACAGGATGAGGTTGCTAGCCTCATGCCCAACTTTTCCTCTTCACTAGCTTTATTTCTAGCTTAGCGAGGTAATGGTGATCGAACCCCGGACCATGTTCATGGTCGGCGATCATCCTAACCGCTATGCCACCGACGCAGTGTATATGCAAGGCATATCTGCAATCTTGAAGGAACTAATTTCAGTCCTAAGGTTCGAAAGGGTGTCATCAAGGACTGCCAGCAGTCAAGGGCAGCATGAGCGCCAACAAAAACGAAATCTAGGTGGTCCAAAGCATCCTGCTGATTGCCTCAAAACATCTGCATTCAAGAACATTTCTACTTTAAATTAGAATCCCTCTTAGAACTTTACATTAAAGGTCAGCTAAGACATTAAGAATCGCTTTTTAAGACAATAGAAAAATGACAGGGTTTTGCTTACTCACCTGATTTTCATATGACACAGAAATTTCAATATCTGATTTCGATGTATTTGTCGAATCACTCTGCTTAGAAGAATGTGTCTCATCTTCACTTTTCTCGCGTCTTACACCGCTGAGTTGTTCTTTGCCATGTTCAACATTTGGTTGGATTTCGCATTGACTTACTAAACCATCAGTTTTATCCAGCTGACTGTCTAAATGACTGGTAGTTGTATTATGTATAGTTGTAGAATTTTCGCGAGTGGTAGTCGTAGCAGTTATACTTTCCTTCCTGGGTTCACGCTGACAACTATCCTCATGACTGGCAATATTCTCTTTAGGTGATAATGCAGTTTTGAAATTTTTGACAGATTCTTGTTTTGAAAGGCTTGTTGGATCTGTTTCATCTGGAATTACTTCACATGAAGCTAATGGTGCTAAACGTGCATGTCCTTTCACTGTACCAGTGCCTTCATCAATATCATCGTGAGACGATATGGGAGTTGATGAAGATGTCTCCTTGACTGTATCTTTACTTTCACGAGGTTGTTGCTTTTTCTCCGACTATATAATTGTAACATAATTTGTTTTAAAAGAAAACAATATTTAGGATGTGAATTATATTTGAAACAATTATATTTAAACATTTTAATGATAAATTTATTCAAAATGTTTGGTGTTTAGATACTAGAAAGATTTTGTCTCACAGAAATTTTAATATTTATTTCAGCCCACCTATTGGTGGAAAAGTAGCTTCATTTTCTGACCAACTTGATCATGATTGGTTACTCAGAAAATCGATAATGATTCGCCATTATTGCTGGTCCAGGTGTATGAACCAATCAAAACGCGAGAAAAGTTCATTTGTCCTATCGCATTAGTAACCAATAAGAATTCAGATCTAGACACTTTCAAATGGTGAAGGAGTTTGCTACCTTAGAGGTAGTTGAGTAATACCGTTGATTAATTCTCAGTCAGTGAGATCACAGAAAAAGAAGCAGAATGCTAACTAGCATGAAACAAATCAATTCACTAAAGTTTGTCTAAAAATTGATGAGAGACTACTATCATGACAACTATAGAGAATAGATGACACACTTAGGGTTGAATGGATGACTTAGAACAAACACCAATCAAAACCGTCTGGGAAAAGCCCCGGATTTATTGAGATGATACCAAAAAATTCGCATGTTGCCAATATGATGGGCATCAACCAATCAGAATTCAGCATACTCTTAACGTCTCTTATTCAAGCCTTTTAGAATTAAAGCAGGGACAACAGTGTGTGCAGAAATAGGATGCTACCATGATTGTTTATTTCGTCGAGTTCTCATCATCTGCATACAGCCTAAATAAATTGTCAAGCTGATGTACAGAACAACTAAACTCGATTTTAAAGGTAATAATATTGTAGGAGAAGTTGACAGAAAACTGAGTACCCCACTAACCAGAACCTATTCTTCAGCTAAGTTGACTTCCGCTTATTGGACGGCAGGTTGTTTAGTGCAGTGTAATTTACAAGCATCTGTGGTAGCAGTTATATTGGAAGAGTGGAAACAAAAACGGCACATCTCCGATTTTCTGTACATCCACCAGAAGGTCTACGACTCAAGGAAACAAACGCCTTCTGTAGGGTCATTACCAGAAATCTCATCAATATGGATCATGAGATGGGAATCACAAGACAGACAAAAATAATTCAACTCTCCTCAAGTTACGGAATATACACATCTGATCATGAGGAGTAATAAAAAGACAGTTACAGCGAAGAAAATTTTCTTTCCGACGAAGTCATCAACTACGCTGTACATTCATGCGTATTTATAGTAAATGGGTGGGTAAGTTCCCGAATAATTTCCGGTCAAGGGCCACTTCAACGTGCATATACCAATTTACTTGCTCGTGCGGAGTTGAGTATATCGGCCGTGCCATGCGCCAACTTGAAAAACGCGCTCGTGAACCCTATCCAGCCTGGCTAGTGAAAGCAGATCGAAAACGTGCACATAGTTCAGTGACAGAACACCTAATCAATTTAGGACATTCAGCACCATTCAAAAAATCCTTCAAAATCATATCCAAGATTCAATTAAACCTATCAAAGGGAGTAAAATCAAGACATCTGGGCATAGCCAAGTCACTAGCCATCCAAAAGCTCAAACCCACGCGTTGTATCCAAAAGAAATACGCCCAATCCATGTCCCTACCATGGCCATCATAAACAGGTATTTTTATTAATAGTGACTAGCCCATTGCCTTTCTCATCCAAACTTCCTGTTTATTCCTTATTTACCACCATATTTTCGCATCCGTACTTCCTGTCTATTTTGCTTTTTATTATTTCTACATATTTAATCCCTAATTGCATAAACAATTATTCGTCACATTAGTTATGATCCCACTAGATTTTTATCCGAACATCCTGTATGCTTTGTTATTTCTACATTTCTAACCCCTAAGTGCACAATATGTAAATCTTCTCAGTAATTATGATGCTACCTTGTTTAAGTTTTATCCGTCCCCCCATGTTGAATATTTATGGTCCTGTTGATTCTTTGTTTTCACTTTCATAATTGCAAACACCAACTTATCTCTATGACTGCTGTAATCTTTGTTTTTTCCCTCACTATATCATGTAAAGAGAACATCATATTCAATATTTTTAATCATGCAAGGATTTGTATACCGCATCGACAATACTGTGTGAAACAAGCCCACGACAATTTTCACTTGTATTATTATCATTACCTTAGCTGCTATCATTATTATTATTTCCATTTTATATGCTGCATGCTTTTTATTTTTTATTTTTTTATATTAACCCCAATTGTAATTGTAGAAAAATTTTCTGTGTGATTAATTTTATTTATAATTTGAGGAAATTAGATGCAAGATATTGTGATTAATGCTGAAAATTGCATTCTGTATCACAAGTACTGTTTTTGGAATAAAGTAAATCATTATTATTATTATTATGTGGCGTTTTAATTCCTAATTGTAATTTCATTAGTTTGACCCTTGACCGGAAATTATTCTGGAAATTTCCCAACGATTTATTATAAATACACATGAATGTAGATCCGAGCTGATAACTTCGTTGATAAGGCAATTTTCTTCTTTGCAACTGTCTTTTTCTTATCTCCTCAAGTTTGCAGAAGCAGTCTCTGTCAAACACCATGAATGCGATTTATATGTTAGGAAAGAAGCAGTTATCAGTGTTACCTTGTCCCGGTAACTGGACGTCTTAACTCTCTCCTTCACTTGATAATGGAATCTTTGGATTTAACATCTTCATCCCTCTGTATGGTGTTACTCTGTTTTTGTCTCTTGTTTCTATGATTTGGGCTGAACTCAGCAGTCACCCTTATATTGGAATTATAGGATGATTACAGACACATGAAACATTTGATGATATTAGATAGTTGGAGGCAATTTGCAGGAAGCCTTGGACCTAGGTTTCGTGACACTTCACACTAGTTACTAGTGTCCAATACAAGGAACATTGTCGAATTTACTAGCTCACTAGTTTTCCAGCCGGTCCCAAGCTCTGGCAAAGTGAGAAGGTTGGGTGTCGAGCTTGCGGCTCTACCCTGGAAAGTCAGTCAAACCGATATGGAAACTTCTCAACTGTGGGGAGTGAGAAGACAGGAATACTCTGGACTAATCGATAAGAAGACTCTCAAAGAGCCGGATTTCGTAGATGATCCACATATAATGCCGCAAAAGCTAGAAGACTTGCAGCAGAAGACCGGCAAACTGGTAGAAGAAGCAGGCAACAAAGACATGACCTCAAGTGAACATAGAGAAGACGCAAGTGATGAAGATAACCAACCGACCAACAACAACCACCACCGATCATTATCAACTACCTTCGTTTGTCTAGGCAGCATGGTTTCAGCTACAGGAAGGCGGATCGGATGAATATATGAAATCCAGAATCGGAAAAGGCGACCGGTGGAAGGCGTCGAGCTCCGGCCCATCGATTGAGTAGAATCCGAATAGGGAACGACGAGTTTTACGTTTGTCCGAGGGTATGATGGAGGAGGTCATGTGAAGAGGAAATCAGAGTTTATGAGCAACCACTGAGCTAGCCATTTAAAAAGTACTTCAGAAAGTAAAACGACATGGAGGTGAGCTGCTGAAGCCCTATGTTCCACTCGGAAACCAAGGGACTATGATAATATTTTATGACAATATTTTAAAGGGAGATCATAAAACATTACAATGAAACATCCCGGTTTTAATGTATGTTTCTCTTCCGAAATTGATCAGATACGCAGTATTTTCCAACAAGATTCATTCTCCACATCAATTCATCGCTAGTATTAATCCGCTCGATCAAGGAGTACACATGTGCTAAGAACTGAACAACGCAGTCCGTGATATAGTAAAGAAGAGAGTAATATTCGTTTTTTCACAAATAATTACTCATCTACTGATATTTAAATAAGTAGCTTGTCTTCAAAATCAGAAAATTTTTCAAAATATATATTATCATACTTATGAATAAGAAATCAACTGAGTGACATATCTTCTCCAGACTTTCCAAAGCATAAATATACCTCAACCTCCTTATTGATTGAAAAGGGAGAACTTACCGTCTTAGGGTTAGGAAGGATAGGTAACTCCAGCGGTGGATCATCTCGTAAATCCACCAGTGTACTATATACAGGTGAACGTGGAATGAGGACAGTTGTCGATTGTGTTGTGTTAATTATAGGACTTTTGACTGCCATTGATGCTGGCGCTGATGTTGCTGTTGTTGTTGATGACGTCGATGATGATGATGAGTGGAAACTTCTATTCATGAAACTTTTACAGGATTGTTTCTCTGAGAAAAAACTACGACTATCTCCAATCTCTGATCGACTCATACAACCGGGATTATATTCTTGACCTGATGATACATTAGGTGAGTGATTCATGTCTGAGGTAGATATTGGACTTGGAAGTAGCTTCTTTTGAGATTTTATTGTACTGACGGCGGAGGCGTTAGACACCTCAGTATTAGTGGTTGTCGTTGTCGTATGTTCCAGTCTACTGGATGACTGTTGTGTTGTTGTCAATTCGACTGGATTTCCATCGACCGTATTATTACTGTGATGTAATTCACATCTGTTATCGTCTGTTTGAGAGTTTGAATTAGGACTAGGAGAGGTGTCATCTAGTCTACTGTTTACAGCTTCTTCCAGTACTGGCAATCGATTCGTAGTAGTAGTAGTTGTTGTTGTCAATGAAATTTCTGACGGCCTTGGCATACTCAACGGGTCACGTGGTTCAGGATTATCAAAATGAGAACTATTCACGATTGAGAAGAGAGAAATAAAAGAAAAAGGGTTAAAACAAAGAGTATTACCAGTTAATTTCTTAAGGTTATTTAACGTGTTTATTCAAAAATAAGGTTTTTGTATCGATTTGTGTTCGTATGCTGGGCGTATATTTGATCCCTTGTTGAAAATTCTTTGTTATAGTTAAGTTCAGTTAGAGCCAATTTATTTGGACCAAGGAGTCATTAGAGGAAAGCCAATCGCCATATCCTCAAAATAAACGAAGTTGTCGTTTAATCTGGATGAGAAATGTATGGAATGCTACTCCATAACCACTTATATTATCACGAAATGCCCAACCCTTTCTCGTTATTATTATTTATTATTGTTCCCTTGGGTTCCTAGTGGAACATAAGGCTTCAACTGCACGCCTCCACTCGCTGCTGTCATGTGCTGTACTTTTCACTTGTATCTATGTTAGTCCATATTGTTTCAACTCCTCTTCACGCGATCTCCTCCATGTCACCCTTGCACTGACGTCCCACTCACCGCTTCCCTTTCGGGTTCCACTCGAGCAATGGGCTGACGCGCAATGTCACCCAACGGCCTCCTCAGAGAGTGTCCAATCTATCTCCACTTTTTCCTGCATATTTGTTGGGCGATTGGTTCTTGTTTTGTTTGTTCCCATATAGTTTCCTGTTGGTGATTCTTTCCGGCCATCTGATCTTCAGTAGTATAGAGCGAAGACAGTTGTTGATAAAGGTCTGCAACAGGCTGTTGAAAATATTCTTTGTGACCCACCAAGTTTCTGATCCGTACGTATAGAAGAACTGACTGACTTGACGTTTGTATTGAAAATCCGAATTTTGTTGTTGATCTTTCTCGTTAAGTGATCTAATAAAGTCGAGAGTGGTTAGGTCGCGCGTTCATGAACTCTTTCTAGTCGGCTGTCTTCAGTCCTTTCACGCTTAGGAGGTGTTCTAACGAGAAGTGAAATTTTGTGGGTAAGAATGTAAGACGCTTACCGCTGAAATTCAATTCATAAATGGTCTACCTAGGTGGGAGGGGGGCTAAACAGCACGGATTCGAAAACCTATGACGTCTGAACCTGCTCTAATCACCAACAGTCATGGAAATCCATCTCTTGATGTTGTTCTACTGTCTTATAGATTATACTTGGAGGGCGATCCCTTAAGACAGCCACCTGTTTCAACAATACGCCTCCATTTTGCCCTCTTGTCTGCAGTCACCTTTGGAAGAACCCAAGATTACTGATGGCCTTTCCTCTCCTCCTCTTCATACGATCCCCTGCATTTCATACTTGGACGAAAAACTCGTCGTTTCCACTCGAGTGACAGCCTCAGATGCACGATATCACCCAACGGTCTCCTTATCGTGTGTTCGACCCCTCTGCATTCTCTTCTACATATTTGTTGAGCAATAGGTTCTCAGTTGGTTCATTCCCACAGTTTATTCTTGCTTATTCCTTCTGCCTATAGAGCTAGAGAGGTGGGTAGCTTTCAATAAAAGTTTGGGGTGGCCTGTTGGAAATGCTCTTTGTGATGCAAGAACCAAGCTTCTGAACCATTCAGAAGAAGAGACTGACTTAACATTACTGCTGAAAATCCGAATTTTCTTTCTTGTGCTGATCCTAACTCGTTTTGACATTCTCATCCGTGCCATCTGTTGTTGAAATGAGGCGCATCTTTTCAAGTGCACATTCTGCTGAGTTTGTCTGTGAAGTAAATGATTATTAGGACTCCATGCAGTTGGTAGGCAAGGCGGAGTTCGAACTTGTGACCAAAGAGTTGAGAATCGATCAATTAAATCAATAAGCCACAAATGCACGTCATGTCATTTAAGTGGTTGCCTAAATTCTGCAATTCCATCAGAGATTATAACCAGATAAATATAAACAGCCAAATAGATTTTGGCCAAAAGTGTTTGTTGAAATCTCGATTCTAAGTTCGGCGACGTTTCGAAGGCGTCTGAGGACTAAGAGAGGTAGGAACTTTCAGTCTAATCAGTCAGTTGAAAAAATAAAATTGATACACAAGAGTTAGTTTGCAGGAGTGTGATTTGTCTTAAGGTTGATCAAGAGCTGATATCGGTTAGAGAAACATTGGAAGCCCACGGAATACTGAACAGCCGTCTCGTCCTGGTTCCAGAATCTCCAGTGGTACGCACTCACAGAGGTTCGAACGCAGGACATTCCGGTTACAAGTCAAGCTAGCAGGCTATTCAGTCACCAGGGTCTGATTCAAAGGCCCATGAATTCCAACTTGTACTAATTAGTGAGTTTAGTGGGACCACTAATTGTTGTCATTGACGGCTGTCACCAGCCAGTGTCATCTGTGGCGAGTAGTTTCGATATGTGTCTCTTCCTCTTTCTAAGGCTCAAATTCTTTAGAGTAAAATCAATATGACGCACAGCAACAAGCGGGTACAACAACAAAAAACTAGCTAGCTTACTACGTAAATGATTGGTTTTGATTTTGACCCAGTGAACTATTATTAGACCCAGTACTGTTCTCCACATCTGGATTCGCCAATACTTGATTCAATGACCATATCACCGAGAGACCAGTAGTAAATACACGATAGGTAAGAAGGAATGTATTCAAAAAATCGATTGACAAGAATCTAGCATCCGTGAGACGATCCAACAGGCGACTAACTGTTGCATATCGAATCTAAAAAGTGTTAAAGCAAAAAAAACAACAGCATATTGTGGGATTATTTTAACAATAGTGAAATTGAATTTGAATGAAGCAGAAATAACGTCGCTACCATCATTGTTCATTTCGTTGAACTCTCATCAGCTGCCCACAGCCCAGAGATACCATGAAGTGTATGTGCAGAAACAGTTTCAACATACCTACCAAGTGTGCTCAAGTATAAACAAAAAAAACTGTGTACGCATACAATGGTGTCACTGGACGTGAACATTGAACGTTTGTTTATTGGAACTGGTAGCCATTGGTGGGCAACTCGAAGGCGCGAAGACGAAAGAATACGAATAAAAGTACATTGTATTTATTTGTAAACATTTGTTTATAGACATGTAATTGTCTTTAATTTAATTGCCAAACAATATAACTTCCTTCAAAGAATACTGGTGTTTTGGAGTTAAATTCGAGAAGATACATAGTCATTATCGGTTCAGAGCGTCTTCGTTACAATAGGAACTTAGGGCTAAGTTCCTTGACAAATGGTAATACTAGTAATAATGACCACTTTATTCCAAACAATTATAATCATACAGAATTGAACTTCCAATGTTACGTAGTCAGATAAAAAAGAGAATAAAGGCATCCAGTTACGAGGAGGAGCAAGGAAAGACTGAGAACTGCTTCTTTATGAACATATAAATCAGGTTGCAGGCGTTTGATGGAGATTGCTTCGGTAAACTTGAGAAGAATTAAACAATTCTACCAATTGATAAATTTGAAGGATTTCCCAATGTCCACTTCATGATCTGTATTGATGAGATGCCTGACAATGGCATTGTTGAAAGCGTTTGTTCCCCTGAGACGTAGAATATTTAGTGCCTGTCCAGAATATCAGAAGTGTATCCTTCTCTGTGATCGCCCAAAGTAAACTGCTCCCGTAGATACATGTAACTTTATTTACACAGTTAGAGTTAATGTGAGAAGGATATCTATCGAGTTTTGATTTCATCAAAGATGAGCATGTTGTGCGATAAACGAGAACCAACTTAGCTAGCTGCAGGATAGGCTCTGGTTAGTGGTGTGCTCAGTCTTCTGTTGACTGTTCCTGCAATATTTTCACCGTTAACATCGAGTCGAATGAGGCTGAGCTTTTTTCTCACCATGATTTGTTTGACATTTGAGACTTTAAAGCTTCCGTACTTGTAAATAAACCTCTGAAAGTAACCGTTGTTTTTCAATATCTTCTCGGGAATGAGCAATTCTTCCTGTGATTCGTCAAAACCGAGTTTTGACCAGTGCTTGCTAATAGAGAGAACTATTAAAGTGTAAGTCTTGTTCATTCCATGTAGGCTTTCGATAAATTGACCTCTGAAGACTGTCATCTTCCAAACGTTGCACGGTGCGACGTCAGTGAAATGAAGCCTTTCATAATTTTCATGTTCCATAGTAAATTCAATGTCTGTATTTACCTTATTAAATAATCCGAGTAGGTAGGAAGCACACTAAAAATGTTTCATCTATGACATATCGACGATAAGAAGTTGTTCCGTTGATATTGCATGCTTCAACGTTGTTCAGCCAAGGTTTTACATGAACAAATGTCTACTAAAACATGGCTAAGTGGGCTGCCCATAGCCTACACTATCTATTTGTCGGTAGAGAGTGTTTTTCAAACTGGAATAGTCTCCTTCTAGTTAACATTTTCAGCGTGGATCTCACTCTAAACTGAACTTATTCGAATTCTCCATAATCAATATAAGCGCCTCTCTTGATGAACTTTGTTGTGATTGACTGCTAATAATTTGTATCTATTACTGATCGATACCAGTTACAATCAAGGTCATCATTGTTAGTTTTTGTCAACTGGCGTACAGCTTAAAGCAATTCGAATATGGCGGAAATTTCCATACAAACAATTAGAAGATAAAGGGAAAGTTTGGGTAAAGAATATTCTTTTCGGTAAATTCCTCAGCCAGCTCTACAATTCCATACAGACGTAATATTCTAGGGTAAACATCATTAACAAAATTGATGTTCTTTTTAAACGCTATCGACTTGTTAAGATCACAATGGAGGTACAGTTCAAGAAAGATGCATAAGTAATAATAAGCATATAGAATGTAGGTGTAGAACATGGGTGTCACCAGACGGGCGAACCAAAAACCAAATTGACTTTATCACAATATCGAGGAAGTGGAGACGCAGCCTACTGGACACAAGAGAAAGAAGAGGAGCAGACGTTGGCTCAGACCACTACCTCGTACAAGGGACAATCCAAATCAAATTAAAAGCTTTCAGGGAAACAGGAGCTGCAGATAGACCACAAGCCAAGTTCAACACTCAAAAGCTGAAGGACCAGGCTACAAAGGACATCTTCATTGCAAACATAAGGGAAAAAGCCGAGACACAAATCAACACCAACGAAAAGGTCAGCGTCGAAAAGCACTGGAACAAATTGAAAACGGTGTGGAGTCAAACCTGCATGGAAGTCCTAGGCAGAAAAAAGAGACAGGACAAACAGTGGCTCTCTACGGACACTTGGAAACTAATAGAAGAGAGAAGGGTGGCGAAACAAAAGATTATCCAGTGCACCGACGAGCAACAGAAACAGGAGTTGAATGCAAGCTACAATGCACTGAACAAAAGAGTGAAGAAAAGTGCCAGGGAAGACAAAAGAAAATATTGTGAAACCATGGCAAACGAAGCAGAACAAGCTGCAGGCAAAGGAGACCTCGCTACACTATACCAAACAACTAGGCACCTTTCGGGCAAAAGTTCGACACAGATTAAGCCAATAAAGGACGACAATGGAAAGTCAATCACCAAAGAGGTGGAACAGAGGAAGCACTGGGCTGAACACTTCAAAAGACTTCTAAATCGTCCGCCACCTACAACGCGTCCAACAATACCAACAACGGAAGCAGAACTACCAATGAACATCGACCCTCCGACGAAATCCGAAGTCCTGAATGCCATCAAGATGCTAAAAGCTGGAAAAGCGCCAGGACCAGATGGAATCTCAGCAGAAGCTTTGAAAATAGACCCAGAGACAACAGCGGACTTGATGACGCCACTACTAGAGAAGGTGTGGAAAGAGGGCAAAGTACCCGAGGAGTGGAAGAACGGATACTTATTCAAACTGCCAAAGAAAGGAGATTTGAGTCAATGTAAAAGCTGGCTTGGAATTATGCTTCTGTCCATTCCAAGCAAGATACTATGTCGCATCATCCTGGAGAGAATTAAACAAGCCCTAGATGAAAAACTTCGTCCGGAACAGGCCGGATTCAGGAGGAACAAGTCATGCATTGACCAAATCGCCACCCTACGGATTATCATTGAACAAAGTTTGGAATGGCAGTCACCTCTCTATCTCAACTTCATCGATTTTGAGAAAGCCTTCGACAGCGTCGATCGAGAGGTGATTCGGCAACTACTTCGCTACTACGGGGTGCCGCCGACAATTATACATCTCATCCAACAGCTGTATGACAACGCTGCATGCCAAGTAATCCACAACGGGAGGCTCACGGAATCCTTCGAAGTGAGGACGGGAGTGAGACAAGGCTGTCTACTGTCACCAATGATCTTCCTGATTGCAGTTGATTGGATAATGCGGCAGACAACGGCAACCAACGAGGGAACAGGCATAAAATGGACCGACACAAAAGCCTTGGAGGATTTGGATTTCGCCGATGATATATGTCTGATTTCCCACAAACTGGAAGATATGCAAGTGAAAAGCAACAAATTGGCAGAAGAAGCGGCAAAGATAGGACTTCAAGTGAACATAGACAAAACAGAGGTAATGAAGACTCCTGGCCAACATCAACAGCAACAACCGACAACAATCAGCATAAATGGGAGGAACCTGAAGGAAACAACTTCTTTCACCTACCTGGGAAGCATCGTCTCAACTATAGGAGGAACTGACGAGGATATCAAAGCCAGAATCGGAAAAGCAAGACAAGTTTTCATTTCTCTCAAGTCTATGTGGAGGTCAACAGCATTCAGCGTCAAAAATAAGATCCGTATTTTCAACTCCAATGTGAAGTCAGCGCTACTATACGGATCAGAGACTTGGCGCGTCATAAAGAGCATCTCAAACAAACTACAGACCTTCATTAACAGTTGTCTTCACTCAATACTCAAGATCAGATGGTCGGCCAGGATCACCAACAGAGATCTCTGGGAGCGAACCAACAAGGAACCGATTGTGAAACAAAACTGCAGGAAGAAATGGAGATGGATTGGCCATACTCTGAGGAAACCATCAAGTGACATCACTAGACAAGCCATTGCTCGAGTGGAACCCGAAAGGGAAGCTACGAGTTGGTCGTCCAAGGGTGACCTGGAGGAGATCATGTGAAGGGGAATTGAAAGCGTGTGGGCAGACTTGGAGCCAGGTGAAGACTCTAGCAGAGAACCGAACGCAATGGAGACGCATGGCTGAAGCCCTATGTTCCTCTAAGAATTAAAGGAAATAATAATAATATGTAATATTAAATAGAATATCAAATAAAATTAAAGAAAGCTATGCGACAAATAAAGGGTGATTAAAATATTGGTGACCAAGGTAAGGAAAGCGTCTGAACGAACTTCTTCATTTAGATAAGCAAGTTAGGCTTCTTAATGTGGATTCCAACAGCCTCAGAAGCAATATGTAAGATAAAATGAAATTAGTCAATATGCCGTGGATACCATTGAAAGTCATGCGTGTTCTGTATCCACATGATGGGATAGAAAAGAGCTATGAATGGACCTTGTTTGTCCCTTGCTTGACCATATGGGATGGTGGTATTCGGAATTAAGACGATAAACACACCCAATTGTACACCCTTTGCAGTTAGCTGGATAGATACACATAGAAGAGATGAAATTATTTAGTTCGTCATCACCTCCCAAACTTAAGATAGGAGTGTAACAACAGAAGACAAGGGCCAGGCAACAGATCGTTTATTTAAGAAATCAACAGATATTTACAGATTTACGTGTACCACAGGAGTAGTTGTGAAGAGATAGTG